TGAACTTAATTAGCTGGTAATGGTGGAGGCAGTGCGGGTCTCCTATTTTCTTGGATGGGATTTATCACTGTATTATTAAACTTATCTTGGGCCTAAGCAAAGCGAATGGCAGCTATTGCATAAGTGACTTCGGAACTCCGATCATCGTAGAGTTACACCTTCGAATTCTAGATGTGATTTCTTTTTTTCAGTCGAAATTGGAATACCATTCTGATTGGTCATAGAGACTTTATGGCAGAATAATTCGCCGAGGATGGTACAATGGAGAAATTGAGTCAAAGGCGATGCAGGAATGAAAGAGGTGATTGTATGCTGCGAGATCTCGCAATAATTTCTATCGTACGTTGAAATCAATCTTTTTTGTCTACACACCTAATTTAATTTGCAACCTTCGTGTCCTCGGTAATACCTGAATTTATTAAAATTGAAGTACCTCCACTTGTTTCAGAATTTCAATGGTGGCAGTAACTCGGTTAAAAGCGTGTCCAATGACGAAACATAATTCAAGGGAACGAGAACATTGTACAGTGATCTTCTTTCACCGTGTCGCCACCGTGAGAAAAGAGTTGCAAGGATTCTAAGTGAATTACAATTGCCCGTTCCCGATAGGAGAATAATAGTTCCCTCAATAATATCAAATCCAAATCCGAGCTGCTACGAAGCCGCTTCGAATGATGTTGATGCCTTCTTGATGGACCTCAAATGTTTCAAAATATTCCCGCGAGTGGTACACGCGGATTTTGAGAGGTACCTTTGTAATCGCAATTATCCCACATCATTTCACCGAGGATTTTTCTCCGAATGACGACTCCGCGACCGTCTCGACGAGTCCATGAAAGTTCAAAAGACTTTTCCCGACCGAGCAAACGAGATCGAATTATCTTTTCCTCGGTTTATCGTAGCCCATAATGTGGGTGGTAAATGTCGATCATTGCACCACCACCCATCATCCTAGGCAGACCTTGCTTTCGATCCTCGCCCTAATCTACATAATTTTTTGCTCTATATATCTATCGGAAAGCGACCAGCATCAAACTCCCACGATTGACTTGCGACATTAATTTTGCTTTTGTCAGGAACGCGGCGATTTGCTCCCCTGAGATAAATATGACAGGCCACGGTAATCCGTTCTCGCAATTACCTGTGCACGCAGACCAATCGAAATCGATCTCTGTTCCTTGGGTCACTGTTGATAGACTTTTCCCTTTGGAGTCGAGTGCTGAGAAAGGAATTCCGAATGGGAGTGGACGTAGGGAATAAATTTGGAGAAATAAGAAACTGCGCAGGGAAATACGGGAACGGGTCGCCTTATTGGTCGATTCATTATTCAAGTGCACAGAGAGGGTGTACACCCTTGCAAAGGAATGAGCCATGCAGGCTGGCAGTAAAGGGTGGCCGACATAAATTCCACAAATGCGCTCTTCCTTGCAGCGATGCACCCACTCGGTGCATTCTTCGTCCAACGTACCCGCGTGTACTCTCACGTGCGGCGCGTAATAATGTTACGCGGTAACCGGATAACTTTTATTGAATTATGCACATAAACGTATTATATCACACGCATGAGAACCCGCCACGCTATATATGCGGACGCCTTCGCTTCGCTAAATCGTCGAAGCAGGGAAACTTCCTGTCCTCGACTTAACACGAGAATTCTAGGCTGATTCATTCCCAACCGGTGCCAGTTGTAATTACTAATGACTTTACGGCACGCACTTCCGTATGACACCTGACGGTACTCACCCTGAGTGCACCCGGAAAGGACTCTTCCCTAAGAATGAAGTGCCATCGACGGTGAATTCTTGTTTCTAACGAAACTCGATAGTCAAACAGGAATCACGAGCCTCTAAACAGGAACCGATCCATCCGATCATGAATTTATATTACTAATAATTAAATAATTTTTATTTCCGTACATACTGGGAACGACTCGACTAGAATTTTTATTAGAAAGGTCGCCTCGAGAGATAAATGTAAAAAAGTCTCTAGCATGTACATAGCAATTGCAAAAGGCAACCCACATGGACATAAATATATTTCTGTAGATAAAAAAATATATACAGGAATATATCTCGCCGTTGAAACTATATCGCGAGTCCCCTCTATATCCGCATATATTTCATTATATGCAAAGAACAAATTTCTTTATATACATAAATATATTTTCACATATTTTTTTGAAATATATTTAATTCCATGTGGTAGTAGGCGCCTCCACCTGTGTTGATTCACAGGGTGTGCAGATGTAACGAGGGCGGTCTTGCCATCTCGGATAAGATCGACAACTGAGATTTCCCCTTCATGAGGAAAGGTCAGTTTGCGAGCTGGCAGCTCGTGGATAAATCATGGGTGCACTTGGTTTACCTCTTATTTCAATAACTTTAAAATCCCCTCGCCCCTTTGATATTTCCATCGCTGTCATCGGGCGTGATTAGATTTCGACGAGGGGTCGTCCATTACCGTGAGGTGCATCGTGGAAAAAGTGCATTGTGCATCGTGGGAAGGAGCGATATGGATCCGCCTTGTCGGGGATCGACCTTCGACCGATCGATCGTGACCAGAGATCGAAGGCGAACAGGCACTCGGAAAAGTCTGACCTCGAAATTAATGTCTGGCGATCCTGGGCCTTTCGAAATGCGTGCAATCACGCGTGAAAGTACCCAAGAAGGACCAAGAGCGCTTCTTCGGAGAGGTACAGCAGAATTTTTCAGAAATCCTTAAATTGAATACGAAATTTATTTAATTCTTTCTCTTTCCTTTTCAGCTCGAGGACACCTGGGGATTCTTCGAGGGAATATCTAGAGGCAGCAACCAGGAGTTCCTAGGAGGAAGGTGGCCGACAGAGAGTCGCCTTGTGGAAAGAATCGATCCTGCGAAAACCGGGATTCGTGCGACCGTAGTTTACGTGACCGAGCTGAATGATGTTGAGCAACAATAAACTTGTTTTCTTCCGCCGAGATGGCTTTTCGCACGATACGTGCAACGAAATCTAGTTCCGGGCCTGCTTTTATAAGTGAGAGTCTACTGCGAAAAGAATGGACGAGGGGTCGTTGGAAAATTAGTCGAGGGCTCGCCCTTCTCTGATAATTAAAATCTCGCGGACGGGTGGTTATAAAAAAAGGACGCGGTAAATTGTAATTTAATTTATAGGACTTTTGGGTCGCCAGGATTTCTTAACAGCCATTTGAATAACCTTTATGCTAATGCGGACCACGGGCGTTTAAAAGCCCATTAGGAGGGTCATACGTATTACGACGTAATTTATACATATTATTCGGTAATATAAGTACGGAGTTCGATGATATCTGGGTATTACCGGGTAATATGCCGCGAGATACCCGGTGACTTCCATCTTCCCCCTGGGGGCACACCGGTGCCTAATGACTTCTTGATGGGACCATAAAGCAGAGGAATACCATAACAACTTTCATTTCCTACGACCATTGTATACAAGCCAAGTCTTCTCGGAAGCAATATTTCCCTCTGATAATGTATCGTTAAGGGCAGCTTTTTACCCCCGTGGCTCGTTTCGCAAAAGCTTATGTAATGCCAATCAACTCGCACGTAAAGTCACGGTTTCGAAATCTTAATCTCGAGGTGTAATCATTCAATCTGCGATTTCAGAATTTGCCGTGCCTATTCGCTGTCTCCGGTCAAAGTGGATGCACCGAGAAGAGATGCACCCCCGAGATCAGGATCGACATCCTCTTTTAAGCCCGGGATTTTCTTCACGGAAAACCCGACACAGGAGGTATTCCTTTATACTACGGATATATTCCGGTACGTGCATCCCCGCGTTACGGTTTTTACCCCTTAAACATTTTATGCAACCATTTCAGGGGGATTTATGCGTATGCACCGATCACCTGAACATGGCGCAACGCACGGGGCGTCACCTGTCCGCATAAACGGCCAATACATTCAGTTGTCGGAGCAAGGCAAGGCATAAACATTGGGAAACAACGGGGTCCACATTTGACCGCTGCAGTACTTCATGGTGATAACTCTGCCAGGACTACTCCGTAGATCTGACCCGAATGATGCGTTGTTTATTTATCGGGAATTTTTTTCCCTTTTTTATCTCCTCGGCTCGGATTATGCGCTCCGCGTACGTGACGAACGCGCGTAATTAATCACACCGCCGCGTACTCGCGCGAAAGCCGATCGCAATTAATCGCGAAAATGTTTCATCGTTCGCTCCGCCAGGAGACGTCCGATAGATCATCAGGATAAATCATTGGGGATAGAGACCTTTATCAAAGCACTGCATGGCGATTCCGTCGACGGTAACGTTCGGTCGAGCTCGTTGCTGATTTCTTTTCGCTCATTTCTAGACCGATCTCTCTCTTTCCATTCAATCATTACCCCTTATCGCGTCCGGAATGATACTGACCGACGATCTACTTGTAAAGGACTCGACGAGGTCCTTACACCTCGTCCTTTCCTCGATTCTCTTTCGGAAAAAAAGGGAAGATGTCTGTATTGCGTATTCCATGAAAAAAAAAAAAAAAAACCGTAGAAACAGTGCCGCTTGAAATTCTCATAAAATTGATTCATACTTTATGTTACTTTCTGATTATGCTATGAAATAAGCGTCGCGGTTATTATTTATTATTTTTAGGTTGTCTATTTGACGAGGAATTCTCACGTACGCCTCGGGCCGTTGACTCTTTATCGGTCGGTGACAAATCGGTCTTGTACGATCTTTATGTACAATCTGCGAGAGTTAGCTTACATTACGATTGCGATGAAACCGAGGATGGTACTTTAGAGGTCCCCGAGGTGGCTTTTTAATGGTCAAGGATAAAAATAGCGAAGTTTATTTCGCGGTCTGCCTCGAGCGATCTCAAAGGTCGATGCGAAAAGAGACTTCGATGCCGGGTCGTGGGTGAAAAAAGAAAATCCGCCATTTTGTGTACGCTTGATTCAGAAAATTGGCCGTCTCGAGTGAATTGAAGAGCCGCTCTCGATGACCCGTAATCATCGGCTATCAGGACAGATTTCGAATTTTCAAGGCACTCGTTTATTTCCATTTAGGCGAAATCTCTCCTTCTCGTCAGAGTTCGCGGAATTATCATTTTAAGGAGAGTCACTTAGCCGTTTGCCTTCTCTAATTGCGAGAAATTGACGGTGTGCGGTCACTTTTCACAACCATGCCAATGTCATCAGCGATGACTTCGTTGACCGTTCCTCGATTCCATTTACGTGTCGTCACGATCCTCCAAATTAGACGATTACCGGTCCCGCAATCGCGGGACCATTTTTTCCACTTTCTTCATTTTTACGGGAAAAAGGCTCCACGCCGGAGTGACTAGCCTCCTCGAAACGTTAAACATTTACTATCACGAAGGTATAAATTATATGCAAGAAAATTCCCGGCGGTCCCCTCGTGGCTGACGTCTACTACTATCTTCCGATTTATCAGCCTCCTCCTCGACGTACAACCGGCGGATTATGTATATTGCGTTTACGATAATTCCCCTAAGTACAAGCAGGTGCTGTTATTACGGTTGCGCATCCCTTTGCCGACTCGTTACAGTGGCGCAATTATGTTTACGCAAACCCAGATGTGTCCGTATCACTAGGAGCACTCGCTTACACATAATTCCCCGACAATGCCGCCAAGAAAGTCTCTTGCAAGCAATAGTCCATTTTACTCGGTATTTTATCCTCCTTTAGGAGGGCTATATACAGATCAAACATATACTCCAGTGGATATTTATTCCTGTGACTTATGGATTTTTTTAACATTTATTTCACATATGCTGGTTCTGCGATTGCGAAATTGCGATATTCATTGCGACTGAAAATGCGTACAAGAGACTAGAAATCTCTTATCCGGTCGTTACCATTTAATGAGAGGAATGGAACGTATCGAGCAAGGTACAACATATATGTTCTGGTGTATGAACATCCGTTCTGCGATTGTTATTAATTTGATCCTCGGGGTGATCCTCTAATGTCCAAAGATATCCGTTGCGCAACTCGGAGCGTCCGGTAATAGCGTCGGTTAAAATAAGTACGACATAAGGTACTCTCGAGTTTACGACTTCTGCTGCCAGTACGATTCCACGATTTGAGGCGCATTTTGTAACGAGTCGCCAGTAATTCTGTAATCGGCCAAGAGGTCTCCTTTACGAGTGGCCATCTCACCTCGGGTCTTCGACTAATGGCGAATCCATTTCTTTCGAGTGGGACGAAGATCGGCGCCATTAGTTTCGCGATTCGCGTGTAAACGGCGAGAGGAGGAGGAGGAAAGGGGTGAAGAAAAAAGGCGACTTTCCTCTTTTCCGGGGGATCACTTTTCCAATTGTTCCAGGAGCCTCTTCGCCCCCTTCGCCTCCTTGCGTAACTCGGAAAGCTCGACTTTTACGAGCGAACTTGTCCCAGACTCGGTCGAACCGGTCCCAGTATAGGGTCGGTAAATGATAATAAGGAAGTCTCGGTGATAAAAAAAAAAAAATACAAAATCGGCGATCAATCAACACCTACGCACTCCACGATAAGATCCGCCGCCATTTTGCGCCAATCAGGCTGCATTCACGATCGGACAGTTTCGCATAATCCACTGCGCTCATTACGATTCACAGATGATTTCCTGACTCCCAGAGGATGACTCCTCGTCACTTCGCAGAGCCGAAGAACAAGGAGATGGAATACCTACTCCATCGCTTATCGACCTCGGCGAGCCTCATTTGGAGCCATTTTAATGACGATCCGTGTCCTTTAAAATTCCTCCGCACCAATCTGAAGGTACATTAGTAGAAAATCAAAGTGGCGGTCGACCACTTCATGGGTATGAATTTATATTAATAATTAATAATAATAGGAAACGGAATACCTACCGCATCGAATATCGACCTCGGCGAGCTTCACTTGGAGCCATTTTAATGACGATCCGTGTCCTTTAAAATTCCTCCGCACCAATCCGAAGGTACATTAGTAGAAAATCGAAGCGGCGGTCGACCACTTGATGGGTGAGAATTTATTTTAATAATTAATAATAATAGGAAACGGAATACCTACTGCATCGCATATCGACCTCGGCAAGCCTCACTTGGAGCCATTTTAATGACGATCCCTGTCCTTTAAAATTCCTCCGCACCAATCTGAAGGTCCATTAATAGAAAATCGAAGTGGCGGTGGTCCACTTCATGGGTGAGAATTTATTATAATAATGTATACTGCCGAGTTGTAATCGGTGCCACTTTCATACGCCGCGTTTGCATAATACTCTTGATAGCTGGTATGCGAGTTAATTCCGCGGCTTAATTGAATCGGGGATTTTTCCTGATTACGTTTCCTTATTACCCAGGCGATAGGGAAGGTGAAATCGAGACGAGTCTGGCGACACCTCGAAATCCGAAGATATCGACCCCCTGGAATCGGATGTCACGGCTTTCTCGTTACCACTTCTGGGATTCCTGGAGATATGCCGGAGATCGACGTGGACGTGACTAATGCACTTACCGGGGTACAGCGGATCATTTCGCGAGCGTCACGTGAGGCGAATCATTGATCAGTTCGTGACAGTCATGCAGGTGGAATCCGTGCATGGAATCGGCGCCGATCCCCGCGAGAGGAGGCAGGTGCAGCGATTAGATGACCATTGCGTCACTTAGATTGATGATCTCGCCGATTCGCCAAAACATGACGTCGAGCAGATTCTCCAGGAGCGCATCTGAACGCGAAAGGCGACGTTAGACAAATGGCCGAACGAGGAAAAATCGAAATTAATTTGTCCGTCCATATCGACCAGGTTACAAAAATCAGAGTTAATGGTGGTCGCGATGTTAACGGCTTGTAACTTAATGCCGGTGGTTTTCGCTGATAGGGCACCGAGAGTGAATTTGTAATTTCACTTCCGTCTCCGCCGAGTCGCGGGAAATGTGTACACAAGGTGCACGCACCTTGGGCCTCTTAATATTAAGTCATGTAGGGAATAATTAATATCTTCGGGGTTCTTTCTCGTACGTGATGCCGCGGCAGCATCGGCCGTCCCGAGAAGGAACGCCGGTAAATACACACCGCGCTTCGGTAGCCTTCTCACGAGACTCCGCCATCTTGAGGCAGAGCTTTGAGCATTTGTTATTTCTAAATGTTGCACCACGGCGGTTCGGAGAAATGATCGTCGCGGTGGAGTATTGTAATTTACCAGTCAAAACACCTCGTCGGAACGCCGCCGGGCCTAGTCTCGGTTTGGTTGCGTTCCCTGGAAATATTGTGGCATTCCATTATCTCCGCGAAAAATTTCATTTTTCAGAAATCGCGAGAGAGGGTTTCATTAGAATTACGGGAAGACGCGATTTCATTATTTTTTAATTTAATATATGTACATGAAATCCAGGGATGGCGCTTAAAAGAAAATGCGGATGAAATGTCTCACAGGCTAGTTTGTAATCGACTGACTCCGATAATTATATTCAGGACTCTGATAATTGTCGCTATCGCCCCGTTGGTGAAATTAGCATAGGATAAACAAAATACAGGCTCCTCTTCGTGGATAGGCGTGAATACTTTCCGGGAAAATGGCTGTCCACGTGGCTCTGACAGCGGCCATCGAAAGCATCGACCCAATGGCTCCTTTGCTATCCCCGGTAGCTCTATGACTCCTATCTGTCTCTCCATGCACATGCACCGGTGCAACTGAATGCACTTGCGACCTACGTGCACGTAGGCGGCGTTACTTTCCTTACCTAACGTGGATCGCCTCTTGTGTTCGAGTTATGGCACCGGCTCCACTTTTTCCGCGAAGACGATCGCTTTCGTTTGCCAATTTTTTTTTCCTTTTTCCTTCCTTTCCCCGGGAAAGTGAAATTAGCCCTAGTTGGCAATGAGTCGAAGAGTCTTGCAGAATGGCCGTTGAAAAGCTTCCGTCGTCCCCATGACCGATAATTCCATCCCGACACCTCGAGACCAGCTTGCACAACGCGCGTAATCGCATTAGGACGTAACGCGGAAACTCGTTGGACGATTCGGTCGTTACGCGTCCTATCTGCCTCGTTTAGGCGCAACAAATTGCATACCACCATTAGATCCTCGTCCACGTAGAGATACCTGAAGAGCGCACCTCGTTACGTTCGTCTACATGCGTTTACACGTGCGGACGTCTTCGGCAACGTAGCGACCTGATTCATGTTTCATACAAAGGACCTGATTACTGATAGGAATAACGTATCAGCGCGTGCTCTTATATTTATTCCCTCATAAACAAGATATAAAAAAAATTCCCACAGTTTGCACAGCTAAATGGAGCCGAAAAGTCCTGTACTATTTTTTCCTAATGTCCGTAATTTATTTATAATAATTAATCGAACGTCAGCGAGACAGCTTACGGCGTGCTCCGGTTCCGCTAATCATATCCGCCAGGTTGGATAATTCTCAATTAATTATTAGACGCAAATGTTGCACCGTGGAGAAGTAGTTATACAAGACTTTTCGACTTCATTTTTAACAAGAATAGCACTGCAAATAAATTATGGCCGCAAAATTAGTCATGCTGTATGTGTGTATACCTACTCGTGCAGGTATTTATTCGTCATCCGACTCTTGCAGGTACCGCAGATGCGACTGGATGCAGCTGCACATGCACCAGGATCATCAGCCAGGCGAATGGAGGGTCCAAGGGGATCCTTTTCCCATCTTCTGCGAGCATCCTGGCGACGTGGCATGGTCCTCGCGGAATCGTCGAGTGACAACTGGCCGCTTGCGTTCCCTTATTCCAGCTGCTCGGTAAATCATCGCTTGCGACAACTCGCGCGCGTGATAACTCACGACTAGCCGAGATTTCCCCGGTTTTACTCGGCTAGGCTCGATAAATTAGCCGGGTTTTCGCAAGTGGCACCCCACACGCCGAGGGGAGAAATCCGCGCCGCGATTGCAGCGCCACAGCGGGCCACGTGCGTGCCGAGACGTCACTTTAAGGAGCTGCACCTGCAGGACCCTTTATCAAGCCGAGTTTCCTCGTACATTTCACTCTGATAATCGTCCCGACGAGTGCACGATCAGAGGGGCCATGATAAGTCCCGAATTTAAAGGATCTCTGATATTGCGAGGGAGCAAAAATCCTGGGGACTCTATTTGCGGGTCCAGAGAGCGAATCCGGGATGATTGTCGAGTTACTTTTATTTTATCCCCTCTGGGGATTTTTCCGGACGCGGAAACGCGACTGCTTGCGTTGAGGTCGGATTTTAGTTCTCCGATTTGCGTGCTTTCGCCCCTGGAAATCCCGGAGCTTAACCAGCCTCTCTTTGCCGCGCTTTTTTCTGTCGCACCTGTAACAGAATCTGTATAAGGGGTCCAGGAGATGATTGCGCTAATATCTCGCGATTAGCGGGCAGGAGCGAAGCCGATAATCGCGAGGATGATTGTCACCCTCTTCAGGGTTGGTTTCGTCCTCGACTCGAGGTTCGGTTTAGAGATCTCTGCGAGATGCTCCTACAGCTTGACGGGCCACAGTGGCGAGATCGATTCCAGGATCGATCGACTCTTGGGTCTACCTGGAGCCGATTCAGGAACTCGTTGTCCATGAGAAGTCACGAAGGAACCCGGGAACACGATCGCCTAAGATTTCCGACCCGCTGTATTCGTATCACTTTCTCCTCGGAGGATAGACCCGAGGATTCATCCGCGTTCTCGTCGCACCGTATAAATAACGCGGAGAAACGCGGCCGGAAGGAAGGGAGCGGATAAAAGCGAGGACTTCCTGGAGGTGATTTCAACTTTGGCTCCATCCAGCATCCCTCTACTTAAGATGACATGAAAACAATGTCTACCTTTCTCCAATCTGATATCAAAATTTTACTCCGCATTTTTCCACGCCAACCGAGATTCTTTAGTAAATTTTTCTATATTAAAAAATGTATATATGGAATTGAGAAAATCCAGGGGTCTCATTCGGAGGAATGATCATTAACGATTTATCTCCCCTAGATGCCATTTTCCTGTCACCTGGATATCTGATCCCAGATAAATTGAAGGCACATCCTTACAGGATGTTAGGGAGATATACTCGAGTCTGGAACTTCGCTTCTCTTAGATAATGAAATCTAGTCCCTAGGTCTGCTGAGGCTGGGATTTTAATTACCCAACGAGAGGTCTCTCTAATTATCAGATCGTTACCATCTGGGTCATCGACACTCGCGGGGGGCACATTTTATCCCGATGATTGATCGTCGGCATCCATCCCTATCGTTAGCTCAGGAAAGGAAGGATTGCAGGCCCTCTGGTTTGCGCTTTGCGTGGCCTCACGTCGTCGCTTCCACGCTCGGAAAATTCATATTAACCTATTAATAAGAATCGCTTACCGAGCTCGCACTGCACCCGGGAAAAGTAAATCGACGTTAACCGCTGCCTAGAGCTGCGCAATCGGTACGCATTTTTCCCAACCCTGATCTTTCTTATCTTTTTCAGTTTCGAGGTGTAATCCCGAGCCTTCCGGATTTTTACCGGGGTCCTTTAATGATAGCGATACGAGGCTCCAGGCTATTACAGGATCTGGGATCCTGCTCGAGTGTTAATGAGCGAACATCAACGTCGAAGACGGGAACAGGACGAGACGGCTCGATGCGGTGTTACTCTTCATACTTGGACACGGGTATTCATTAGATCGCCTCGCGTGTCAATTTTTCCCCCCCATACGAATGTTAATTAGGTAATACCTGGCTATTCGGGAAATCATGCAATCCGATGGACCCGATCTCGATACAGCTTGAAGTAAAGGCCTGGAATTACCCGTGGAGAAAAAATTAATTATTGCATTTCATTCCGACAAGGTAAGGTCAGGACTAATTCCTGTGATAACATTCTGGTATATCGGTGCCGATGGACCTAAAGAGGTCATTTTACCCCTTTTTTTATATATCACTTTCCACGAGGATTTCAATTTCCCACGGACTGATAATCTCCTTTATGATTCCTCAGCCATGAGACATCGAAAGCAGGGGAAAAGGGGCCTTCGTAAATGGCGTCGAGGAATAAAACAGAGCCAAGGATGCGTCGATCCTTCTCGATAGCATCGCGTAATGGCGATAATGGACCCCCGGTACGTGCCAAATGCTCGCACGGTTTCTTCATCCGGATCGATGAGAAATTCCACGTCGATTTCGAGTCCTTTGCATGTACTCCATCCTTAACGCAGGACCTGGAGGAAAGAGGTCCCGGTCGAGCACGTATCCCGAAGAGGAGGTCGAGCCTCACTCGTAAGTGCACGTCGTTAATTCCAGCGCCCTCGTCGATGCGATTTTGATTTATGAAAAATATATCTAAGTACCTTCCCTTCGGGGAGGGAAATTTATTTCTTACAGATTTCGACGGGGGAATCCCGAGGGACTCGACCTCGATCGGAGGCGATCGCGGTTCCGGCTTCGCTCTTCGGCATCGCGACGTCGAATCTGAGCTCTTCAGGGCAAGTTTCCCGTCTCGACGACGGAGATATCGGACCACTTTCTCCGAGGTGACGTTCCCCGCGAAAAGTAGTTCAAGACTGAGGATTATACGTGCGATTGCCCGCGCGATTACGTCGGCGCTTAGCTTACGTAAACTTTCTTCGCGCCGAGGCACTACTTGAAGTGCATCCTACGTATGCAATCCCCGCTGCATCCCGAACTCGGGCGAACTGGTCTTTCATTTTCTTTCTTTTTCATCTGCCGAGGGTTATTAGAGTGACAATAATTTCAGGAGCGATTATCCCGCACTGGCGGAAGTTTACGCAACCCGCGCGACGAATGGCCGCGCATTAAACGGGGATTATTAATAACTAATAATGGATCCAGAATGCCCGCGGCGAGCCGACTCCTCGACGACGGCGGACAGGATGAATCTGCGTCGTTATAAATCGACGTACTCTAATTACCGGCATATTGCCGACGGTGCGTCTATTTGCGCAAGCAAATTTCCGCGGTTTTATGGAAAATTCATATTTTTGACGTTTCCTTTTGTTAATTTTAAACGCATCGCTGCTGGAGATTGGTATATGTCGAGGAGTCGAGGGCTTCGGTGGTATGTACTTCTTTTACTCTTCTGCTCTGGATGCAAAAATCCAGGGGAATAATGGATATCATCCTGTCGACTCTTAAATGGGGCTTTCAATTATCGGGGTACGCGAGTTCGCGCCGTTACTTGAAATCGATTCCCCAATGCTATCGCTCCTCCGAGGCTGTTACATCCTAAATGTCCTCGATTATCGACTTACGTGACAGTCCGCGGTCCCGGGGAAATCCAGGGAACGAGCCCGATAGCTTTCCCGGTGTTTCGCGATTAAACAACTAAGTGCAGTCGAACTGCACCTACCTCTACTTAAAATCGGTACCTCGGAGTCATGTAACAGCCACTCGAAATTGTTATCACCTAATCGAGGAGGAACTCAATCTGTATCTACATGCTCATGGTCTAGATTGTTGCAGTGCCCTTGTACAATTATTTACTGCAACAATCGTCCGACCTAGAATTGAGCTGAACTCCAGTAGCGTTTCTTAAAAACAAAAAAAAAATTCATACAAATTATAATTACCCTGCAATATTTTATCGTTTGTCCCTGCGTGTTGGCCTTCTTCCAAGTTACCTACTTCATTGCATTTCATTCCATTTCATTGCATTTCATTTAAATTCCAGGGCGAGGGGCAAACGCGACGGCGGACTTCGGTGGACGAAGTCGGGGGGAATTATTACTTAATTAATCTGCCGGCTGGTTCCTTGGCTGTACTTTCTTAATAAACAGACCGAGAGCCCGAGGGGCTTCGACGAGTCTCGGTTTCCCAACCGAGTGTGCACAGTGTCGAGGTTGTGGGAACGTTTATGTACCGAGAGGAACTCTCCCACCTTCCTCTTCTAGGTCCCTTCTCTCAGCTCGCCCCTCCACGAGTTAGACACTGGAGGGGATTTAATTTACAAGCGTATTTATCTTCGGCGGAAACAGTGCGTATTTCTGAGATGCAAAAACCACGGAATTTCTGCCGCCTACCTGGCACTCTGCCACTGCAGCTGCAGCTGCAGCCTCAAGGGCAAGGATCGTGATTATCCTACGGATCGGGGGATGCTGAGTTGCACGGACTTTGCCTTCAATCATGTCATATTTAATTTTTAATATCCTGCTGGATGAACCAGTCAAATGAGACCGATGATCATGAAGTTGCCCGACTCATTTCTTTCGTTGGGAAATTAACTTCCCATCATTTTGGATTTTTTTTTAATTTCACTACTTTCATGGGTACCGGCACTAGTAATGCAAATGTACAATGGATATGAATTGCGGATAGATATTTTGCGGCATTTATCTCTTTAACCAGGATTGTAAACGAATTGTCATTTTGAAAATGCATTATGGGTATGACCTAGGAACAAATGTTCACTCTTAGGTTTACCATTTCAAATATAATTTCAAGTACGAACCTCTTCACCTGCAAAAGCTCTTCACGGAGGTATTGCTCGTGTCGGTGCGCAAAACTTGCCGCAAAACTTGGCTCGATAAGTTTGCGAAGGGTTCCTGGGCTTCTCTCAAGACTCTGTGCACTTGTACTCGCAATTATTGCAAAACTCTGGATAACTTAACCGTGAGCGAGAACTCTCGTATAAGTTGATCGAAGGATCGAAAACTCTGATACGACCTCGTTTGATCCTAGAAAAATAAGTCGTTTAATTATTAAACAACCTGGATATTAAATAATTCTCACAATTCTACTGCAGATATACTCACAGCTATGTAAATGAACGGGAAACAATAATTATCCGCCTCCCATATAACAGTACAACCATATTTTTAATATTCTCGAGAGCCTATCTCGCGGCCATCGGTTAACAATGTATTATTTACAAACGTGTATTTACAGTCGGAATTATGTAACAGTTTGGTATTTTTGGCTTGCATGTTAGAAAAAAAAAATATATATATAACTTTTTTGTGCACAGGATTACAAGTGTAATGTCAAACACGGACATAGAAGAGGGATTGTAAAACGTGAATTTCCAATTCGCGTCCCATTCGTATTGAATTAAAAAATAAAAAATCAAGGATTACCGTGGGACTCTTGACGGATAAAAAGTAAGGCCGGATGTGCAGGTAGTTGCGTTTGGAAATTTCCCCCGACTTTGGTTTCCTTTTTTCGTTTCTCTTAGGGTGTCGCAAGGATTGTTTCGCGTCTAGTGATAATTAACACCTAACAGTACGTGCGTAAATAATGCGAGGTAACGCACATAACTCTTTCGGCCTTCCTCGGGCGAGCTGGAATAGGTCGGGCGCTGAGTTCCTGTAATTCTTGCGCAGACAGCGAGTCGAGATCGATGACGTCCTCGTCCTCGGCGAGGACGGCATTGACCAGGAGAAATCCGCTAAGAATCCCGAAATCGGCATATTTCTTGAGCTCGGCCTTGAAGAGGTCCAGGGTGAGGTCCCTGATGTTCTCTTCGGGGAGGTTGAGCTTCCTGAGGTGGCCCACGAAGGACCTATAATACGTCTCGACGAGGTCCTCGTAGTGGTCGTCGATGATGGAGGACTTGGCACTCGAGTTCACGAAATAGTGGAAATCCGTGGCGATCGAGACGTGTCTCATCACCTGGAAGTCCACCAGCTTGACGTCTACCACCCTGCCGGCCTGGTCGTGCTTAAATAGTAAATTATTGTTCCAGGGATCCCCATGGACCAGGACATGGAATTGGCCCTCCGGCGAGAAGAGGGCATCCTTCATGATGTCCACGGTCTTCCCTCTGAGACCCCCCACGGCCTCGATCGCCTTTTCGACATCCTTCGTCCTGGGCTTTATGGACTCCAGCTGTAAAATCGCATGGTGCAAGCTGGCCTCTACAGCTTGCCCAATCGCTGGCTTCTCATCTCTGGGGAAAACCGCCTCCTTCAGGTGGGAGACCAACTTCAGGAACCCTGGTCGGTCCTTCAGCTTAAGCGCGTACGACTTGGCGTGGAACGAGGCGAGAGTCTAAGAGGAATTAATTGAACCGAGTGAAAATGACTTCTTAACCCGTTGCTCATCTTCAGGAAGGAATTCCCCTCGGTGGTACCTGGAGAACGGAAACGCAGTGGTTCATGTCCAGCAGATCCATCCGGTCGCAGACCTCGTAGCCAGCCAACTTCAGGTCCTCCATGATGATGGCCTCTGGACCTGCATAGATGCACGCTGGACCAACTGGACCCAGAAGAGGAAGCAGCTCCTTGTAGGCGTACGCCTCGTTGTGGAAGAAGTCCGCATTTCGGATGTACTCGGCGATCTTCCGGTGAAACGGGTAACGCTTCGACACGAACGTCTTGTTATAAGCTATGGAAATAATTAAGAGAAAAATTCAGAAAAGTGGGCCAGGTTGTCATTTCACTTTCTTTCCTTTCAGGAACACTTACGCGAGCCGTCTCCTCGTCTGCCGACTATCTTCGACCTGACGACTATCGACAAGTAGTTGTCTCCGCACTTGGTCCCGGCCTCCTCTTCAGCATGCACTATCGTCAGCTTGGGGTCCTTCTCGAAGACCCTCAGAAGGGGCTCAAACTGTTCCACGATTTCTGCAATTTTACCCCGAGGTAGAAGAAAGGACGAGGGGTGATAATCGATCATCGCATCGCAGTTAATTATATCGTAATTAATAATCGAGCCGGAATTTTCGGCCCCGCGGCTCGACCCTCCGCTGACGCGTCATAGTTTATGATGAATGGTCAATCGATCGCGCCGTGTCTCGATAATCGACGGTAACGGACATGAATGGAGCACGTAAACCGTAGGAACAATAAGTCCGCATTACGTCTGGACGCGCACATGTACCCGACACATGTACTCGCGAGTATGTACGGCGGCATTATGTTAGCAATGGCCGTAATACCCACTGACACACTGCAGGCGTGAATCAAGGTCTCCGCACAGATATGCTCGCTCTACGTCGCCTCGTGTTGATACTTACCACGTGTCGTTGCAGCGAAATCCTAGAGTAACGAGGAATGGCAATGGAAAGCGCAAGAGAGAAAAAAAAATATATGAAGTGAACTGCTTCCCAAAATTTTACCGACAATTTTACAAAAACCCGCCGCGGTGGGCTTCTTCAAATCACGTCATCTGCGCGTCGCATCGACTTCGGTGCCCTCAAAACAAATGGCTTAGCTCCAAAATTCTCGAACAACCTCGTAAAGTGAACCGAACTAAAAGGGAAAAGAGGTAAAGCGGCCACTTGCAGCGGCGTTGGGCAAACTAACGTCCCAGCAATATTGCTGGGCGCAGTGTTAGTCGGTGCATACAAAAATGCACAAAAGTGCAGGTAGTAAAGAATCATTTAGTACGGCCGAAAGCGTTGCCCCTCGGCTTTGTTACCCCTTAAAAATTCTATATCTTGCAATCATGCTTGTCTACCCTATGTCGAGTATGACGTCAAGTTTTAATGATGTTTCTTAATTTTCCAGTGAACCGGAGCCGACATCTCGCGGGATGTGTCCAGAAAATTCGGAACATGAGGATGATAACCGGTAACAATGAAATATCCGAAATGACAACCCATTGGTCGCACGATATACCCGGATTAATTAATTAATAAAACGATCATTTGGAACGACTAAAATTGTTTCCCATTGATGATAATTCCATTGTCGCGTGAAACCACGTTAACTACCACACGCCCCACCTGATATCTCATTAAAATGAGGTTTTTCAATTTTTTACCAGGACCGGAGTGGACACCTGATATCATGAGATATGTCGAAAAAAAAAGAAAATTTAAGAAAAAAGATGCAAAAAGGAAGATACCACCGCAATGACACCGATGGACGCACAAGTCATCAAGCCACTCGGGAAAGCTGCACCGAGAGGACCCTTCGCGGGAAGACGCGATTCCGCGTCCAATTTGCGGAAACCAGATGCATGTAAACCGTAGTCGGGTGCATTAACGTCGAGGAAACGGATCCGTCGAACCCGGTGGTTCCGCTTCCGGGGTCGAAAAGTCGAATTTCCCGGGTGCGAAAATCAGGGCTCGGGCCCTCGTACCTGACACGGTTCGCTGCTCCATTTTCCGCACCGCACTAGGACTAGGCCAGCAACGAACTATTCCGATAACTATGCGATTGCGATGTTAAGTGCAATTCAAGGGGCTAGATAAATGCGCCAGCCGCCAAAGCCGCGGAACGGCCGCTAGACGAAGCCCGCGTGAGGCCGCTCTTCGGAGTATGACAACGCCGATGCACCGATGCCCGATCTGTCTAGCTTTTCCTCCTTTTCTCGGGCTCCTTTTCCTTTTTCCGCATCCGAGCCGAGTCCTACTAGTAGACCCTAGACGATTCCCCGACTTCCCACCAAGGAAATCCACCTCTACAGGAAGAGCACGCAAGGCCGCCGTTTGTCGACGCGCCGCACGCGCCGCGCTGATAAATGCATCCTGCACTCGGAAAACCGTGACGTAACACCGCAAAACTGCATCAGTTATCGCTCGAGTATCCTCCTATCTAATGATCCCCTATTTCGGTTTCCGGGTTTTTCTTCGACGTCGTCTGACAATCCTCGCGTGTCGACCTTCGTTTCCAGGGACTCGCGGTGCACTTTGGATCCTGCATCATGCAGTGCAACTGCATCTCCTAAGGGTAGTAATGCACATACGCGCATGTGCCCTTACGTGGCCTAATCATGTGCCGTTAATTAATATAAAATACGGCGGGGATATTAATGTTTTGATTTTTTTTCTCATTTTTTTTTCAATTCTTTTCTCGTTGCATTGCCAGTGCATCGGTCGAGCACCGATTATGCAGGTGGAGAGGAGGAGTATTTTCAAAATGGAGGGAGAGCTTAAAGTCTATCGCGACGTGTCGGTCAGTGCTTGTTGATATTATGAAATCCCAGATACTGGTATCTCTTATCTCCCCATCCAGATTATAGAATATTTTTTATCCATACGCCGAAATTATGCAATTGAGAGCGAAACTCCTTTCCGACGCGACCTTCGCCACCGCGGAAAAGCACCGTCATAGAAAATCCGCGTTTCTTACTTTTTTTCTTCTCCCAGGAAGTCGATAATTTACCTTGCGTGCACTTCACCTTCGCGCCGTGGAAATGATAGCAGTGCGTTATCTTTGAACCACGCGCGATAATCACGCGCGTCGTGTGCAGTCTCCACGTGTGAGTTTCTTTTTCTTTTTCTATTTTTTTCTTTTTCAAAGGAAAACGAATATCAAGCTCCGACGCCGATTAATGATTTCGAAATGCTGAGGAAAATGTGCATCTTTCTTTTGTTCGGCTTCCCTCTTGAGGCTTTCGGGTGCAGTCAGGATGCAATTGTTACTCGATCATCGCTAAATTCACATACCCGGTGCATGTGCACACCGAAGACTCTCGATCGATGCAACTCGATTGGCTGATCATTAATTATAGACGGGGAAAAATGAATTGTTTATAAGCACGACACATGGCTCGTGCGTCATTTTATGGTGGGGGCGTCAGCATGTGCATCAGTGTATGCACCGAGTAATGGATTTCGACACAGCGCGACCCTATGTCACTCGTTGATGGTTTCACTATCAACGATTGCGATTTTTACGCAACTATCGGCACAGCCGACCTCGAGTCGATATAATTGACTCAAGGAAACCGATTAATATTGTGGAAAAAATACAAATCATCGATCGGGAAGAAAATATTAATTAATAGTTCGGTGGATCTTGATGACACTTCCGTACGTCCCGAGTGCATAGGGACTTTGCACCGGAGAGAGATGCAGCTCGCCTGAAAAATCCAATTGCATGTGTCATGTGGGAAATTCTTGGAAAATTCCTGAGAAATCGGGCACGCCGGAAGTGCCGATCGAGACCTTGGATTGATCTAAATTTGCCGATACAGGCCTTCATCTCAGAATGACAAAGGCTCTTTGTCAGCATCCGAGCGATTAGTAAATCGCTTCTGATCGGCCTTCGTGGGACAGTAAAACGTGCATTAACTGAGGGCTAATTAATATTCGTCGCATTACACTTGCCCCATTCATTATTCTTGAGGAGGCTGAGACACATCAATCCGGAGTAGTCACGTAGCGTAATTTCGCAATGACAACGTACCCACGTACCCGTCTATGCAAAGATCCTCGGGATCTTCACCAATTTGCGGAATAGCAATTTACGATCTATCAAATCATCCTCATCGTGTATCCAAGATATCCGAGAGGATCCAACCGGATCGCTCGATCTCGCGGATCCAAGCGCGATCTAATCTCATCTCGTTGATGCGCTATGTGGCAACGAATGATTAGGAGCCTGTCTATACTAATTCCGTGGAGTATTGTTGCACGTGGATCGACCTCCTGTCAAACGTCCCCAGTTGCAACAGAAACTGCATCCCTCGATCGAGGGAAAAAAGGATTGCGTGACGTTGCCTTAAATTAAAAATAAAAAAAGAAAAAAGAGAGAATCATTTCTTGTTACGTGCAAAATGGCGACGAAACTTTTACGCACACTTAATGGACAGTGCAAGAAATTCTGACGTCAGTCTCGCGGAATTACGATTGAACGAGATGAAGATGGAATTTTAATAACCATTCGATCGATCGGTTAAAAAATGGGTTAACGGCGGTTTGACAGGAAAATATTGAAAGAAATAGGAAAAGCTGCGGTTAGCAGGGTAACGAGGGCAAAAATGCAACTCCACCTCGAGGCTTCGAGTAATGCTCGGTAATTCGACGTAATCGTTCATGAAGCTGACGTACCGAGGACGAATATAACCGCGACTAATTCCACGTGCATTGTTCCGATAATTCTGCTTTCCAAAGACGGAGGACCTCGGGAAAAGGCTGAGATTGCCTTCGGCGAGTTCCGAGATTTCTGGAGCAAATCGATCGCAAATGGGATTAGGTATTCCAAAATGCAAGGAATTTGAATAACGCGGCTCTTCAGGGATTGCGTAAATCACTCGAGGTGTAAAAAAGCAATCCAACCAGTCCATAAACTGCGGCGCCAACGAGGCACGCAAGTCACTTAACAATCCTCCTCGCACCTGAGTTATGATAATTGCACCAACACACGTGTCGGTATCTGCATATTGAAAAATGCAAAGCGAAACACGTTGTCATCATAATTGTGCGATTTCCCGACCAGGGACGAATCGCGAGATCGCAGGATTTTCTGCGCGTCATACGCAGTTTCAAAGGATCGATCAATTAATATTGATAATATTGCAAACTAAACCTGTCTCTCTTAAAAAAACATGCGTTAAGAATACCGAAGGGAAATTTGCAGAGACAATAGAAATTTTGAAAAATAAATTTATCTTTATCTGAGGAGGATTAAGTAAGAAATTAATAGAGAAATCGAGGCGTGGCTATGGGGAGCGTTAGAATTGAAACTAAGTCCTGGGGATTTATTAATTATTTTTAATTATTCATCCGATTGGACGAGTGCTAATTTTTTGTCGATGCCAAAAATCGGGGGTAATTCTAGTTTTGGTATGCAGTTGTAGTCTATAGTGTTGAAAATATCGAATTTTTTTCAACGGTGGAGGAGAGGGTCTCGATTCCTGAATATGGGCTGAAAATCGATTTATGAATTAATATTAATTATTCATCCGGTTACAGCAGTGCTAATTTTTTGTCGATGCCAAAAATCGAGGATAATTCTAGTTTTGGTATCCATTTGTAGTGGACGGTGTTGAAAATATCGAATCTTTTTCAACGGTGGAGGAAAGGGTCTCGATTCTTGAGGGTGGGTTGAAAATCGATTTATGAATTAATATTAATTATTCATCCGATTACAGGAGTGGTAATTTTTTGTCGATACCAAAAATCGAGGATAATTCTAGTTTTGGTATACATTTGTAATGGACGGTGTTGAAAAAATCGAATCTTTTTCAGCGGTGGAGGAAAGGGTCTCGATTCTTGAGGATGGGCTGAAAATCGATTTATGAATTAATATTAATTATTCATCCGATTACAGGAGTGGTAATTTTTTGTCGATACCAAAAATCGAGGATAATTCTATTTTTGGTAAACATTTGTAGTGGACGGTGTTGAAAATATCGAATCTTTTTCAGCGGTGGAGGAAAGGGTCTCGATTCTTGAGGATGGGCTGAAGTTGGCCGATCTCCCAGACACCTATCTGTCCGTTCCATCGCTTTCGCAAGGACCTCGCTGATGGAGTGGAAGCTGGGAACCTGGGAGCAGCCAATTTGGTCCCGCTGCTCGTGGACCAGTTGCTGAAGAGGGTGTCGTTGGGACAGAAGGAAGACTTTCCAGAGACCGGCAGACGAGCAGGCTTGGCAGCTCGACCCGACGTCCGCATAATTTCCTGGATATTGCTGCTGATTGCACTCCAACGGGTCTCAAGGATCCTGAGAAAAAAACGGGATGGTCCTGGATCCTCGGGAATCTCACCTCGGTAGATTGCTCGTCCCGTGGGAACCGGATTATCCAGGAGATATCTCATTTTCGGAGGATCCAGGAATATGGAGCAAAATGGAACTAGCTCTGATACCTAGCTTACGATTCGCTGGTCATTAATTTCCCTCGGTCCGCCTGAGAAAATCTCGACGATAGGGTTTAATTTCTTTTTTATTCGCGAGTAAAAATTTCGATAAACGTACGGCACTGCGAAAAGTCCAAGGAAAGTGCTCGATTTACGAGTACCGATACGTAATCTTGGTATTACTTCCACTGGAGGAGGTTGCGAAACTCCCGGATGCAGTTCAGTTATCGCATCTTCTCGAAGATGCAATACAAGGTGCGAAAATTGCCGGGGCGAAAGTGCTTTGCATTAAGTTTCTCCGGTGAACCTCTGTGTAATTAGGCCCCGCCAATCAGCCTTGAAATGTTCGATATCGGCAAGAATTGGATTAGGAAAAATTCTTGAGATTTTGCTAAGACTTCTTACGAAGTGGGCCCAATAATCTGTAGAGAAATATTTCTGGAAGAACGTCGGTATGAATTAATTTCATTATCGGTTAATTGGATCGAAGTGAATGCGTTTGCGAGTGCAAGGTGGAGGGTTACGGTTCGACTCGCATTGATTACCAATTATTGCCATTCGAGTCGGTGAAATTCCATGTATTTCTCGAATTACCGACACTGTATCGAGCAGTGCCGTACTTATCCAATTTGGAACTCATACCGCAGTGCTGACGCTACGTCATTTCGCGCCGCTCCAATTACGATAGTAATTCGGGATAATTAACTTGGGCAATTAATTAATTATTAACCTTTCCCAGGATACGCGAATCTCGACCCATTCCGGAAATGGCGGCGGATAGTGGCTAACTGCAATTTTCTCGAGTACTCTCTTAATGCGATTTTATTTATCCTCTTTCTCCTTTTTGTCTTATTTCTCTTCTTTTCCTCGGCGGTTTTAGAACGTCGTAACGATGTCTCCTTTCCGCGCCAGTTCTTTTGATTACTCGCAAGCATGGTGCATTTAATAATTCTTATTTAGAAAATGTGACCCTTTTATTGCTTATCGATTTTTTTATCAGGGTATTCTATTTATTTTTCAAAAATTGCGTTATGTGGAATTATGCATACCCGTAATTGTCGGCAACGATCCGTGCTCCTGTGAAAGGAAATTGCCATTCTGCAGGCGCTACACCGGAATTCAGGGTGCAGTCATTAAAATGACTTTTATATTTACATAGTCGTTGATAATAAATTTTCTCACCTCGTATTCGGATTAACTAATGTAATATAAAACTCGTGAGGAGGGTACAATTTGTTTAATGTCTGCATTAAATATGTTACTTAAGATTAGGTACACGTTAAGTAAATAAATCGAGCATTATCGGCGAATTTTTAATACTTCGATTTTGCAGATCAGGTAAAGTTCAAGTATTACATATTTTTTTATTAACATTCGTTGTTAAATACTATGAGTATACTGGCTTATGGCATTATTAAAGCTGTCGATTATTCCTTTCAGGAACTATTTACAATACTGGGAGATACCTCCGTTGAGCCGGCCTATTAACAACCTGAAGAGGACCCTGACGAGATCCTGCCCCATCGTCTTCGGATGTCAGAAGCGGAAAATACAGATCATTTATGTTTGTCACTATTGTTCTACTTCCAGGAAGTCGCAGGACCTCATCCTGGCCGACTCTATTCTTATCCTTTACAGAATGCGCATCGTTAGTATTTCCGGTAACCTTATTAATATTCAAATTCGGGTAGTTTTCATTATTCCCAGAGGTCCCTCTCGATCGAGTATTTTCAGCTCCTGAAGCCGGTGCTAAATGTCCAAAAGGACTCCCTCTTCCTTTTCCCTTGTTAACAGAATCATTTACAGAAAATCCTTTAGGACGATTTCCAACTTTAGACTTGAAATTCGGGTAATTTTCGTCTCTCCCGAAAGTACCACTTGATTGTCCCATCCTAAAAGTACTTCTACTTCCAGAGGAATTAGGTGGAAGATAATTTCGAGGATTCCCTTCCGTTCTTCGTCCTTCGTTGAATGGGCTGTTTGAAAAATTAGTCCTTCGTCCCCCAGGTGAGGGACCCTGTCCTGAATTTAAACTTGATGCAGTACTATAAAAGGTGTTGATACGAGGAACTTGAATTGGTGATTTCGAAGTGGAAGGCACTTTCGCAGGTATGTTCGTCCTGCCTTGACCTAGGACAGGTCTAGAGGTAACAGGACCAGGTCTGATCAGCTGATCGTTCCTTTCCGTCGGAGGCGAACCTGGATCAGGAACCGTCAAAGGTGGGTATATAAAATCCTGTCTATCGTCGTTACCTGACTTTCCAAAATTTTCAGGACTCAAGGTGGTTGTCGGTCCCAGGACCAAATCAGGAGCCAGGGTACCAGCGATCGCATTGGAGCCAGGAAGTTCTCTGTTGGGGCCAGGAAATCCGTGTTCCGATCTTCTGGGGAAATCTACAGGTCTGATACCCTCCCTTCCCTCTGGAGTTAAATACGTCCTGTCAGGTGCACTTGGTGGTCTCCTTGAATCTCCACCAGGAGTAGATCCCTCAAACCTGGGAGGAACATAATTCCTCGGTTCCGGGGGCCTAAACCCGCTGAGAAAACGCGAATAATCGTCTTCACCACGGTGACCATCACCGACTCCTTCCTGACCAGTTCCAAACCCTCTATCATCCTCCAAGGTGGGCTCTAGGTAATCAGACCCTGGCTTTGGCAAAGATTTCCGACCTACCCCTTCCTCCTCTTCACTCCCAGAAGAGCTTTCATCCTTCTTTCCTCCAAATCCATCATCAAAAATCCTCTGATCGCCTTGATTTTCAGGATGCCCACCAGGATTAACCCCAGATTGAGGTCCAAACCCATTTGCACCTTCCCCGAGACCTGCAGGACTCAAGTATCGATTTTCAGGTCCTGAAGAGGACGTTGATGGAACCGATGATGATCCTGCCTGAGTTTTATCAGATCCATTCGGTCCCAGATAATGGTTCCCAGGTCGAAACGAAGATCTGGAAGATCCACCGTTCCGAGATAAACCCCTCAGATCAGAAGTTTGTCCAGGACCTCCAAATGAATTCGGATGCTGCACCTGATCCTGCCCACCAGCGTTTCCTCCTGCAAGTGTAAATCGATGAACACCCTCCCTGAGAGCCTTGGGACTCAAGTATCGATTTCCAAATCCTGAAGGAGCTGCTGATGGAACGCTTGGAACTGATGATGATCCTGTCTGGGTTTTATCAGAACCATTGGGACCGGGTCCCAAATATTGATTCCCAGGTGGGAACGAAGATCTGGAAGACGCAAGATTTCGAGGTGAACCCTGATCTCGGGTGTGCCCAGGACCTCCAAATGGACCAGGATGCTGCACCTGATCCTGCCCACCATAGCCACCCTCGTTTTGCGCCACTTCTTTCTGCCCAAATCCCTCGTTGGCGGCACTTTCCTTTCGAGGCAGCTCTTCCGGATAATTCCCAGGCTTTGAACTCTGCTCGGGAACTTCGTCGGGACTCGCCGAGAATCCTCTGGGAGTATCGAAAACCGTCTTCTCGTCTCTTGGTGGCAAATAGTCCGCCAGTTGCGGACCCGTCCTTCTTCCGGGTTTGTCCCTTTTGCGGTTCGCCTCGGCGCTGCCATCCTGGAAATTGCCGTTCCCAGGACTCCCTGCTCGACTAACTGCGGACTCGAAAGCTTCGTTGCCGTTTGAGCTTGCGGATTTAACGGCTGGATTATCACCGTTTAATTGAGGGGGAAGATAGTTGGGATTAGGGCGGTCCTTGATCCCGTTTTGAGGACCTCTTCGAGGCCCCCGATGATCATTGCTCGATGATCGGCGATCCTCGGATCGATCGTTCCGCTTAAATAATTGTAGGCCGTTTTCGGACACCTGATTTTCGACCTGAGGTCTTTTTGCAATCGTTTGGGGATGGTTTATAATTTTCTCGGAGTCTGAGAAATCTGCACTGCCTTCTCCTGTGCCTGCTAGGGACAAGTCGTTCCCTTCGTGCGCGGAATTGCCTTGGTACCTCGTCCTGGGGATTTCGTCCTTGTTCCCTGGGAAATGGTACCCTTCCTCGTTTTCACTGGGTTGTTCAACTTCCTTTTTCGACTTGATCAGGGAATATAGGGATGGTGCCTCGTCGCAGATGAATTCGTACCACCAGTCGCAGACGAAGTGCTTCTGGTTGAAAATGCTGCCCCCTGGGCACATGAACGAGCTCTTCACACCTCCGGTGTTGCACACGTGGAAGACCTAATTTTTTTTTTTAAACAATTAAAATTGATATCAAATTTTCTTTCTTTTTTTTTTTAGAGAGGGAAATGAATCGTGCGTTCTCCACAAAAATTGGAGATTCGGTACGTGGATACGCGAAGGAATTTTTTACTTCGTGAGATTGCACTTGCGGAAGGTGTGGATTTTATTAAACTCATTGGGATTGGTATAATGTTTTGCTCTCTTTTTTTTTTTTTTTTTTTTTTAGGAAAGTGGACCATGAGAAGTCGAAAATTCAGGGACTAACCTGACATCCCGTTTCGACATCGGCGTAGTATCCTCCAGGTATCTTATCAGCACAGGTGAAGGAGGTTTCCGGGATCCTGTCCAGATTCGGGTAATCCCTTCCCGGCTCTCCCGAAACCGCATCCTGCCACCCATTTCCATTGATATTACCCGACACCTCCTTATCCAGGAAGCCTAAAATTTGGAGCACACATCCATAACCGCTAACACTCGAAATGTCTCACCGACTCACCTGCACTCTGGTCCCCAAATCCATTAGGAACATCCTGTGGTAAAGGAGGTACCTCCCCTACATACCCGGAAGAGTACGTGTCCTGAAAACCAGCGTACTCGAACCCCTGCTGCTGAAAGGAAAAACCACTAATTAATGAACGTTTAAAAATGTATATTTATCTTTTAGCGTTTTTATTTTTATAGAATGACCCTTTCATGCCACCTTAATTGTTTTATTGGCGAATGTGTACCTCGAGTTTCATGGATGAGTCCTTTCGAGTTTTCAGGAAGATGCCGTGGGATAAAAAATTAATGCTCGTAATAATAGTCAGTATAAGCACCGGTTAAATAAAAAATACTCGCATGGCTAGGACGGCTTTCAAGGAATTGCGCGCTCAATATTTCATTGACGCAGACGGTGCGCCGCCGGTGGAAAGTGCATCGTCCTGCGATAATGTTGCACATCTCGGGCAAATGTTGCCTCACGTGGTGCATCCGCGGAGGCGCTTTGCTAAACCCGTATTACGGTCGCGTACGCGTTGTGCAACTTTCATGCAAGCCGGACGCAAGATGCCCGGATTATTCCCGACAAATCGCGCGAACACTTCTTGATCATTTAAAAAAAAAAGGCGATAATAAGAGTACACGAGATGCAAAGCAATACTTAGTGCACTTGGAAAAATAATTCAAGGAACCAAAGAAATAATTCCTCACATCCAAGTACATTTGACTCGACAAAATTGTCACAATTCTGAATAAATCTTGCGGCTAATTTATTCCAGCTTACTTGAGCCAGATAATTATTCCCCGAGTTAAAAAAATATTTCTTTGGTTTCATGAAATGTTTTTTTTTTTATCAGGGTATATCGATTATCTACCAATAAAATATTCGCATGATATATCTCGCGTTCCGGTAAATATTGAATTCGATATCTCCACAATGTAGAACTTAAATGGGGAGGTACGGGGTATTTTCATATGAGGCTTCTGCAATATTGGATATATATTTATATTGAATGTACATGTTTCGATATTGGGGGAGGACTCGCAATGTTTAGGGACTGAGTGGTTTACCGATATGCTCGTGCTTATTTCGCGACTACTTTTTCCCAGTGAGATGAATTTTCATGGGGAAGGGAAATGAATTTCTTCCGCAGCTGAAAGTGCAGATCTACCGTTTAGGACTTTTTAGGATGCATCTCGATTTCTCACCTGAGAGGAATCTCGGAATCCCCATGAAAGGCGATGCTACTTACCGGTTCTGCTCTCGCTGCAGCGGCGAGAAGAATTACGTGAAGTATCATCTCGCTGAAAGCATCGACGTCATTTAGAAATGGTTACCATCGCTGGAGTGAGGTATCCTCGGGAAGGAGGGATTTGATTCCATACACCTGAAACGGGAATGCATTTCACACCTGCAGAAAAATTCCTATCATTCGGCTGAGATAATGAAAATCAGTGGGAAAGTGTAGAATTTTTCTCGAGGAACTTTTATAAAAGAATTTTCATTTCCTATGCTGAATCGCATTACTGGCAATTACCGACACGTAGGTGTCTCGTATTCAAAATTCCCAACACAATGGTGCACCGCAAAATGCATCGAGTGCATCGCCCCACAATTGGCCACGCTAGGTTGATCGTGAAATCCCAACATTAAATAGAGCGAATGTTGCGCGAGTGCACTCGGACATGCATTTTCGGTTGATAGATTATTCCTGATAAGGTGAAGTGCACCGATGCCTTTCGAATTCCCCGGTTCCCACCAAAAGTCGAAATAACTGGCAATTAAATAAATGTAGATTTTTCTAAGGAATCCAAATTGTCCGGCGAAGAATAATTTATCAACTTTTTAACTGCATATCAGATGCAGTTAATATACAAACGTACTTCACGATGCTGCACGTAAAGGGAGTTGCAAGATCCTTTTCTCAATGCAGCGGTAGATTGGTCCTGGGTCACGGATGCACTAGGCCACGTCCGGGGAAGATCGAGCTGCCTATGCAACGAGGTCCTCCAGGATGCAACTCGTTATCGAAAGTGCCCGGATCGAGATGCGATATCGAAGGATCCAGGGATCGAGGATCTTCGCGAGGCCGTCGCGGTTGCAGAGCCCGGCGAGAGAATCTGCCGAGCCTCCGCGTCGGCGATGCACTTTTATAGGAGATGCATCCCCACGAGAGGAGAGGTCCTACCCCGACGCTGTTCGCGGGGGTCCAGGATCCTCTCGAGGATCCTCTCGAGGGGATCCAGTCTTCAAGATCGCCTCTCGACGTGCATTATTGCAGAAATCGTACGCCTCGATGGGTGAGTTCGCACGGCCGAGTGCACTCTTGCCGCAACTTCGCCGCTCCGCGGACAAAGGATGTGCATTTTGTCCTTTGGAAAGAATTTTCATTGTTCCGGGGAGGACGCGATGATAACTCGCCCGAGTATTTCCTGACGGGGGTCGTTGTTCCTGGGTTAAAGAGAACGAGACGAGCCATTCCCTCGAGACCATCTCCGGGCGCGATCGAGGCCTCGATATCTCGAATTCGATCGATTCCACTTCCCGGTGCATTTCTGGAGTCTCTGATCAATTTTTATCAATTTTTCTTGGAATTTTTATCGCGCCCCTTCGACGCTCATTCGTCACCTCCATTTATCTCCTCGCGATGCACTCCGGTGACATAAGTCGGGTGACATGTCGCACAGGAATGTTACAGATGCATCCATTCCGATTCCATGAAAGGGTGTTGGGGTGCATCTAACTCGAGATGCCGTGAATTGTTCCCTCGTAGGTGTAACTAGGTACTCCACACCTCAGCTGCAACTCCGGTAATCCGTATGCAGATTGTAATCGAGAGTCGGGTTAATGGTGATTTCATTCTTAATTACCGACGTGACATGTTTAAGGACACGGTGTTCGGGGAAGGATAAATTATTCACATACCACTTCCAAGAGTGCAGGATCTCCCTAAGAGTTTCCCCGAATCGAAGGGCAGCGTTCGAGTCGATAATTCATCAATGCATCTCGATGCACTCGAGAGAGGTGCAGAGGAGCCAAAAGAGCCGAAAAATCTCTTATCCAGTATTCCTCTGCGGCATTATGTCCTCTTGGCTTGCAAGAGACAGGTTGGAACAATGAGTCCTGATATCAATGGGAGCTTTCTATGGAGATTCCCTCCCTCTGACCACTTTATCGTTAGACAAATCGTCCTCCCCTAATGAGGTGCTCCGAGTAATGGAAGAGACACATAAAGGGGGACTTAGAAAAAAATTAATGTCATGCCTTAAATCCCAATTTTTGTATTCTTTTTTATCGCTCGTATCTTGAAGAATTCCAAAATTAACATACTCAATCATTGATTATTTCAGTGGCACAATAAATTGCAATAAAATTACATTATATCGTATCGTATTACGTATCGTTACATTTAATTCAAGTAAAAATGCGCGATACATTTAAGCCCGGGTATTTGTACATGCTCTAATTTGTCATTTCTCCTAGTTACAATTTTACATTATGAGGTGTGTATAGATTTATGCAAATTTCCATCGATGTTTATCAGCGAGAGGTCGAGTGGAAGAGACGACCCCTCTAGTATGTGATTACGAGATCGACTTCCATCCTTAGACGCGGAATCGAGCGACTCGTTTGCTCTGAAATGCGAGCAGAGATGCAGAGATGCAGACGATCCAGGTACAAGAAGTTGCACTCTCTCTGCAAAGTACGGAACCGAGTCTACGAGATTATCCCACGTCCACGTTAGATCTCGTTTCGTTCTCCGACATGCTCCTCTTACACGCCCCCTGCATGTCCAAGCCGCGAATCCCAGCGGTCGTGAAATTATCACCAATCTAGGAAATTACCGGAAGGGAACTTCATAATCGCCGAAGCACGAAATTAGCTACCTCGAGATTTCGGGGGAAAGTCATTAAAAGAGATCTGCACTCCATAGAAGGAAGAAAGAGACGAAGTTCCGCAATTATACAAGCGTAGACATAAAACTGCATACGCTGAGAAAAAAATGTGATTCAATTAAAAAAAAATTAAATTATGTACTAATTCAAATAATTTGACTGGAATAAATTGCCAGCAAGATATCCTCGGATGACAAGTAATTTCAGTGTGAGTGAAATAATTATTTCTTTGATTAATTCTTTTTTCCTCGGGGCATAAAATAAATTCAATGAGGAATTTAATAAGGGACGTTTATTGATCCTTATTCTCGTTAGGCTCGTTATCGAGGGACGGCTGAATTTCGGTAAATCTTTTATTGAAATTGTTAATATCGATGTGCGCAATGTGCGACAAGGGATGCTGGACTTTAATCATTTGCACCCTTGTACCGACGTAAATTTCATTCCGCGAGAGTGTAGTCGCTCGATAGCGCTTGTAACACGCGCCAGATAAATCAGTTACACGGAGATCCATTACAGCGAGCCAACGTGTAATACATTTAATTGCAGGACTATAAATTGCACCGACGTAAGAGCGCTGAGACGGTAGAGATTGGAATGGAGAGCAGCCTTGATAGAGAATCACGTCTTGCAGCTCTGAGAATCTGGTTGCAGGTGACCAGGGGTATCGCTTCTTCCAAGATGAAATACTAAATTCTCTCTGATTAGTCCTTAATTAATTGTATTTATACAGTCTCTACAAAAGGAGCCCACCAACGTCGGAAGTTATCGCAAATTATTGCCATTTCTTGCAAATTGGCTGTCTTCATAATCCGTAAATCGCGCTTAATAAATATACCACGAATCTCGATTCTAGATATGCACTCGGTTCAAATAAATACTACAGGTATCTAAATTATCTAGACTTAATGCTAATGATTTTCTAATTTTTCTATTTTTATTTTTTAATACGATGTAGTGCAGTCGAGCCTCTTCATCTGCGGATGAATCCGGCATTGTGGAGAGCGCTGAAAATTTTCTCCCGTGGGATGTTGTCGGACTCGCGATGTAACACCTGGAAGAATGTTTGATGTTTCGGTATACGTTGTCAAATATTTTGTATAAAAATGTTGAATCGAACAGATGCCTCATAGGGTTTGGTTTTTTAACCGCGCGTGCAGAACTCGTACCTGGATTTCCTTTTCGCCGAGCCAGGACGCTCTGGCGAGGCCGGAGGCAATTCTGGGATTTTTGTAGAAGTCATTTCGCAGTTCGTTGGGCAGTGTGTCCTCCATGTCAGAGTTCACAAGAACGGCGGGGTGGCCGAACGGTGCATCCGGACGGGCCAGATACGGCGGTGCAGCGGTGCATCCCATTATCAGCGCAAAAAGGACGAGCACGTACATTTTCGCCAATTCGTATCGGCCCTGATAGAACGGACTAATTGATTAAAAAATCATGAAAAGCGCTGCAACTAATAGTAGATTAAAAAATCAGATGCATCTTAAGACGAGTTAACATTTTTCATGGATGCATCCCATTATCAGCGCAAAAAGGACGAGCACGTACATTTTCGCCAATTCGTATCGGCCCTGATAGAACGGACTAATTGATTAAAAAATCATGAAAAGCGCTGCAACTAATAGTAGATTAAAAAATCAGATGCATCTTAAGACGAGTTAACATTTTTCATGGATAATGAAATGCATCCCATTATCAGCGCAAAAAGGACGAACAGGTTCATTTGCATATCGTTCCTGATAGAACGGAATAAATAAATAAAAAATCACTAAAAAGCGCCACAATTAATAATACATTCAAAAATTATTCCAATGCATCTTATGACGGGTTGAAATTTTTCATAGATGATGAAATGGATTGGAAACAAAATCGTCGAGACGGGATCGCTCCCGAGGATCGCTGCGAGGTGTTTCCTTGTCACGGAAGTATAATTCGCCATTCGGCGGAATTGTCATCGTCCTCCTCGCTTAATAGTCGGCCCGATGCAATCCCGTCCCCCTCGAGATCTCATCTAACAGTCCAACTAGCGTGGAACTCCGATCCCGAGTTACGTGGCCACGGACTCGAGTCAAATAGCCGGGCGTAATCGTCGGCCTCCAAAATGGAGGCAATTTACCCGGAAACGGATGTGCAATCGTCCGTTCGATGCCCGGACAAGGTGGTCCAGAATCTGGACCAGAATCTGGACCACCTTGACCGATCTCTTTCGCAAGGTCCCCGAAGACCCGACTCGCTTTCTACGTCGGTTCCATCCCAATACTTTTCCCGAAGACCTGCATCTCGATATTAACCCAACAAATCTTGACTTCGAATGGTACCAGAAAAAAATTTTTTCTTAATTCACCAAACAATTTGCCGAAAATAAAATACAATAAACAAGACGCGACGTTCCTTCAGAACGATGGCACTTTAAAGGTATCTGGGTGAAAGTTATTCTTTGAATAAAAAATATATTTCTGTCGTTCAATGAATATTTTGTTTCCTCGGGGTGTCACTAAGCGTCCGAAAAATTGATAAGAGGCGAAATTAAAAATCGGGAATCTATGACTTCCGGGTGATGAGAGCTTGATAGATGGTACATGACTTATTGCGTTACAGCTCGTGCATTAAATCGACACCTGTCTCGTTGAAAGTCTTTCGACCCCTCGACTTGACGTTCGCGAATCGCGTCACGTATTTCGCACCTGTTTCGCGAATTGTCTCCATCTTGTGTAATCGCTCGCAACAGGGAAAGCAGGAAAGGGTGATATTCGACCCACGTTGGCGGACGATTACGAGGATTCGGGAAGAAAGTCGGATCGCTCGAATTTACTGGGGTAATTGAAACAACGGTTACGTCAATCTACCGGCGCGATAATTGTCTCACTGTCAGGAGAGGCCGCTCGTTTGAACGCCCCTAATCTCGATTACCCAATGTAACGGCGAGTCGACTCTATGACAGCAATAAGAAATTACCGGTCGAGAGGTGCGACTAATCCTATCTCGGCAGAACGTAACGTGATCTAGGTGCGCAATACACGAGAAAGATGAAACCGCGACCATGGACCGCTAGGCTTTCGGAGATAGGCGATATAGTGGGAAGGACTCTAGGTGGTAATGATATCGCCGGTGCGGTGCATCGGTGATATGCAGGGAGAGAAATAGACGTGGTGACTCATTGCACGGTATCTAGCAATTGGAAAACGGCAGGGACATTGTACAGAGTGGAAATGGTCGATATAGTGAGGTGGAGTATAGGTGATAATGGTATCACCAGTGCGGCGAGCGTGATCTAGGTGCGCAATTCCCGGATAAGATGATACCAGGTTTTCGGAGATAGGCGGTATAGTGGGGAGGACTATAGATGGGACTACAGGATATGGTGATTCATTGCACGGGGTTCTCCAAATGGAAAACTGCATGGATAATGGAGAGTAGATATGGGCGAGATAGTGAGGAGGACTATAGGTGGGACGATGACACCGATGAGGGGAATTTCTATAGCTCCCCTGCCTCTAAAAAAATTCAATATTAAGCACAGAATTAATGTTACACTGCGAGGTAAATAAGAAATATCATAGGATAACATAATATATATTTTTTAATAAATGTTAGGAAAATTAAATGTCCAAATAAATGTCGCAGATATTAAAGAAGGCTTCTGTTCTTTCTGCGGGAAATTTGTAATTGATGTGTATAGCATCGTTCATGGATAGACTTTGATGAACCGTGTTACGCATGCATCATGTGCAAGTACGTGCAATCGATGAAGTTGCAAGACTCTCGGTGGCTCGGAAAGTTCACGATTGCGACGATATGCTCGAGTGGACGCTTTAGCGAGGTCGAAACAGTCCCTCGAAATTTACGGGGAGAACTTCCTGGCCCAAATCCTGAAATTTCGGGTCAAGTAATCCCACGGGGTGAATGCGGATCAAGGGGGTTCGCTGCGTTTGACGCCATGGGATGATGGATCGCCCGGAAGCGCTCCTTCCCGGCAACTCCGGGTACCGAGGCTCTAATTCACAAACCCGGGGATGCAATCACTTAAAGTACCGACTCATGCAATATTTACGCACCTTGCCGAACCCGTGGAGAAAATATCTGCCACCCTGGGCTGAATTTCGAGATAGAAACCGCGAATGTCGAACAGACCGAGTCCCTTACCTGTAAATATAAAACATTCGGTCTCTTGAAAAAATTCCCCCGTCTTATCGTCCCTATCACGCTATCAAAACCGCTACATACTCGTATAAAAAATGTCTGTTTATGACTCGTGCCTAAAATTAGGATATTTCCTCGCGGAAAATATTATACATGACGTTAGACGCAATTTTTATTAATTGCTCGTCCTCGACGCGGTGACGCGCCGCGCCGTGTGTGACTCCCTGCGCTCTGATAAAATGATAACGCGATCTAAGCTGTCGGAACGACCATTCATTGGAGTGGAAGAGAACTTATATCGCAATGTCTAACTTTCCAATTTGGACGCAATTTTTATTAATTGCTCGTCCTCGACGCGTTGACGCGCCGCGCCGTGTGTGACTCCCTGCGCTCTGATAAAATCTTTGATAACGCGATCTAAGCTGTCGGAACGACCATTCATTGGAGTGGAAGAGAACTTATATCGCGGTGTCTAACTTTCCAATTTGGAATTTTCAACTTTTTTACATTTTTCTCCAGGTGACACTCACCTCGTCTTAGGGACGCGGCAGGGGAGCGCGGAAGTCGTCGATAGGGACTCGTAAGTAGGTCTATAACTGAGTGACCGATCTCTGAGGTGTTTCTTATATAGGATCGAGTGTTCCCCGGTGGTCGAGTCTCGCTATCACCACCTTCCCGACCTGGTAGACCTTCTGGTCTCTCACCAGCCCAGGGCGCCAACCTTACAAACTGAGTCAAGGGTGCCGGTAGCTCCGGACATCTTGCACGTCCTTCATTCCCGCGAATTAGTCCCCCATTATATTTCTTTTTAAATGGACCTTATTCAAAGGATAAATTCTGGGGTGAGACGAGAGGAATCCCTTCCCAAGGATTTTCGGCAATGAGCTTCCAGGCTTTTTACGCGTCCTTCACTCCCGCGGATTACGTCGGTCACGTGTCCTGTTTTCCGTGAAAACTGTCTAAATTCTGAATAAATTAACGAGGATTCCCTAAAAGGGCTTACCGAGACCCGCCCCAGTCGCTCACTCTCGAGTCATCCATTTTACTTTTTTTAAATGGACCTTTTTCAAAGGATTAATTCTGGGGTCAGGCGAGAGGAATTTTTGCCAATGAAGGAATTGAGGTTTTTCGACTCCATCGGCCTCGAGGGAATTCTTGAAATGGAATTTCGACTCCATTGGGCAACTCGCGGGCTTCCCCGAATTTTGAAATTCCACGTGATTCGATTTCGAAAGGTGGAGACGATGCTGACCCGATAAGGTCGCCATCGCTCTTTTTCCTCGGTAGATGAACCGATTATTCGCGTTGCACCACCTCGGACTCAAACTCAATCTCATCGTCCATATTTGGAGTAATGAATTACGCTTTTCGGAGCTCAAGAGAGAACTTAAAAAATCCAACGCGTGGACGCCACGCCCTGAAATTCGGTGCTACCAAAATGGAGGAATTGGGAAACGAAGCGAGTCGTTCTCTTGTAAGTGGAACGGAGCGAGAGTCACTTTTTAAGGAAGCATCGTACGCAATCTGTACTAAACTGTTCACGTTCCTCGGCCTCGTTGGGAATAAAGATATTTTCTACATCCTCGAAAATTAACTCGCTTTTTTTTTGGCCTTTTTTTCCCTCGGAATCGGAAAATTCGAAGAGGTGGTCTTCATCGTTCGGTCGCCTCGCGAACGGATGGACGTCGACGGCGACGTCGACGGGACAAATGCTGCTCCACTGCTTGCACAAGCGCTAATCCATGCCAGCTTTCTGACCCAGGAATTATGCATATTGCATTTCAGGTCGGTGAACGTGGGAGGGAAAACGGACCAGTCGGGAGAATAAATCCGACCCACGCTCCCGAATTTCGTCCTAGAAAGTGACCTCCTCAAAATGGGGAAGATCATAAAAATCACTAAAATCACAGAAATCTCCCGATTATTAAAATCCAGGATTTCCTCGACCTTAACTGAATGTCTTTTCATTCGTAAATCATTTTTAATAGACGTTTAATCCTTGTAATTTCACGTTGACCATTTTTTTTATGAAGGCAGGAACTTATAAGTGATTCGCGATGCGGAAATTTGGGATCGGGGGGTCCAAACGGGTTCAGGAAAATATCGCAAAATGTCCTTTCGCGAACTTCCTGTCTTCTCATAAGTACATTGAAGGAGATGAGAGAATGCTCGTCGACTCGCGATTCGGGCCAATGTTGCGACCTCGGAAGAGAACAACCTGTGCCCATACTTTCTGACTGGTTATCCTTGTCTGGTGGCTTTGGATTCGCTTCGGAACATCATCCAAGATCGATCGCACTCTTCGATCTTGATCAAAGGGGGAGAAATTACTTCCGCGAAACACCTGAGCAAAACACGCCGAGCGGAATTTTTCGCAATTCTCTTGCATTTTGAATTATTTTTTATTATATTAAATCAGTTAGATTCATAATTATAAAATCGATTTCAGGAATAGGTGGCTTTGGATTCGCTTCAGGACATCATCCAAGATCGATCGCGTGAGCAAAACAAGCCGAGCGAGATTTTTTGCAATTTATCTCTTGCATTTTGAATTATTTTTTATTATATTCATCTGTTACTATCATAATTATGAAATCGATTTCAGGCCCTGAGAGAAACTGAGTTCGATCCCTGAATTATATTCCCGATCACGAAATCGAATTCTGGGCAAATGTTTGTAAAAAGGATGAAGGGACGATTATGCCACTTTGGGGTGGATGCTGAAGAGTCTCTTTTTAGGGACTTTTATCTGTTGACAGAGGGATGGTGGCGGCACGTCTCAATCCCTATTGAATTTTCGTATTTCTAAAGTAGTTCTGTAGGTGATAAAGTATCGGAAAAGAATGGTAAAGCAATTTATGTCGGTACTTTGCTTGGCGAGCAAAGAGAGAGGTTCTACGTCTTCAGGGTTTCCGCTGGAAGCTGCAGATCGCAGCACCTCCCCGAAACGACGTCAAAATTAAATATTTCTCCATGATTTTACTTTATTAATTGTTTGCCAATAATAATACGAGCTAATACGCGAACATCTCCCAATACGTATAAACGGAGCGATTACCCGTAATCATTTCTTCACACACCATTTTCAGAACATCATTTCTTACTTATCCCTGTCTTTTATCCACACATGGCAATAAAATATTATTTATTAACCATGTAGCCTAATTTTTCACTGTAAAATAATTACAGCAACGAACGGAACTTTCCCCGAAACGACCTATTATGTCGAATCAACAACGACAGGCGACCTTGCTCTAATTTCGAAGCCATTTGCATATGTCGGTTCTTTGACCGGACTTACAACTTTCGAAACAACGAGGAATAAATAGAGGAAAAAAATGATCAGGACCTCCCAAAAAGGAATTATAACATTTACGTAATCCCGAGTCGCAGCCCACGCCGTCGTTCATTGAAGAAAAAGAAAAAAGAAATTACGAAATAAAAGCCGTGCGCCCGCGTTGCGCAAACATTGCACTAATAAATGGCGGTGCGATGTTATCGATGTAAATTGGAATCCGTCCTATCGAGGCCACTTATCTCCGAGAAGCGTTAAAACAACCTCTGCACTAAATGGCTTTCGTTCCGAATCTTTCCCAATAAATTCTGGTCTCTTATTTTTCGAAAATCCTGCCTCGCGTGAGATAAACTTCCGCTTAACATTTCCCTTCGTTACCCGAGATATCTCAATATTCCCTGCATGACCTGTAGAAATATCCAGTACACGTAGCATCCCCGACAGTAATTAGAGGGAAGTATTAACCCGAAATCGAGAACTCAATTACCAGGCCGAAGACGACGTAATTCCTTGGCATTATCCTTGCTAATTTTACGTGCTCACATCCCGGCGTTAGCCAGCCATTAAATTTGCTAATTACCATCAACCGACCCATTTAATTATCCGCGTTAGATTTTTTCCACACTTTACATCAATACATGCCTAACTCTCATTACCGTAAGAAGCTCGGCCAATTTATAACAATTCCTGGGGTTAATGGGAATTATTTTATCATTTATTAAATAACCGATGACAATGGACGACACCGCATAAGTGCACGTGAAGGTTTTTATTGCCAACCACAAATAACAAAAGTCGTGAACCGCGGTTGATAAAGTCTTAGTGGTGATAATATTCCAGGGCTGGAGAGATGGTCTTCTGGTAGACGGGGACAGCTGCATGTGCAACCGCAGGTGCAAAGGCCTTGCCGAGCACAGGTACGGATCCATGGACCTGGACATGGTCCAGGTGGGCAGTCTTGAAGATGGTCGGCTCCTGGACGGAGACTCGCTCCAATTTCGTGGCAGGCTCCACCACGTCGAATTCCTGAAGAGTCTCGATAGGCCTGCTGACGACGACGCGTCTCGTGGACACGCGTTCACCTGCGGCTTCCGCGTGGTCCGGAGCTGCGGTTGCGGACAGAACGCGAGCGCGCACGTGCCCGGCATCCCCGACCTGAGAGGCAGGTCCTTCGCGGCCAAATCCGACCTGGAAGAGTTAAAGAGACCATTTAATAGTCATAACAAAATTATCATTCAAGAAGCTGAAATCATGATCAAGTCTTCATGATGTCGGAGAGATGATAAGGAGACCCTGACTAGAGCAGAGATATAAATTTTGATAAATTTTGATAAATTTTGATAAATTTTGATAAACTTTGATAAACTTTGATAAACTTTGATAAACTTTGATAAACTTTGATAAACTTTGATAAACTTTGATAAACTTTGATAAATAAACTTTGATAAACTTTGATAAACTTTGATAAACTTTGATAAACTTTGATAAACTTTGATAAACTTTGATAAACTTTGATAAACTTTGATAAAATTTGATAAACTTTGATAAATTTTGACAAATTTTCATGATTTATGATAAACTCACCTCCGCAACACCTCCTCGAGCGGTCAAAAGTTCGATCAATCTGTGCTGATTAGCCTTGGACTCATCAGGGCTCGATCTTACGCTGGGGATGACAGCTGGCGATGGGTCATGAGCAGCTAGTCTAGTTGCAGCCTCCAATGGAGCACCATGAGAGTGAGTGTACACCTGAGGCTGCGCCAACTGCTGCGCCGATTGCTGGGCCAACTGCTGCACCTTGAAGAGACACCAGGATATCAGGTCCAGGAACAATTGGCACAGAACGCAAAATTGTGCGGAAAATCTAGAAGGTCGTCATAACGGGGCACGTCAGTCCATGAACGGAAATGAAAGGTCGATGACGTGTCGGATTTAATCTCTCTCGATCGCGTTCTTCGGCACAGAAAGCTGGCAAGGTCGAGTTGCTAAGAATTCCTATATCCGGCTGAGATTGGCAGCGACCTTTTCCTTTTAACCAAGATTATCGAGTACTCATAGCGGGACTGAGGTAATGAATTTAAATCGGTAATAAATCCTGAAGAAGTATATAAAGTCAATGTAACATTCAAACAATGGAATATGAGAATAAGTGATGTAAACCCGTACCTGAGCCTCGTGGGTCTCCTGGAGGAAGCGCTGATACTGCTGCTGTTGCTGGAACTGCTGCTGCTGTAACTGCTGCTGCTGGTACTGCTGCTGCTGCTGCTGCTGGTAGTCCTGCTGTTGCTGGAACTGCTGCTGCTGCTGCTGGAGCTGCTGCTGCTGCTGCAGACTGGCGGCGTTGCGGAAATCCGAGTTCTCCACGACCACGGACTCGTCCTCGAAGGTGGAGGCCGCAGGGGTGCTGGAGACTACCGGGGCAGGGGTAGAGGCCAGAACGGGCGCAGGTGCAGGGCTGTGATGAACAACCGGGGCGTGAGAGATGACCGGGGCCACGGTCACGTGGACGGGAGCATGAGCGATCACGGGGATGGCACTAGGAGCTGCTGGGGCATGGGAGTAGGACGCGGCATGGGCGACGATCCCGTGGGACCCTGGGATCGCGGACACGGCGAAGGATGCAGCATCCGGCACCGAGTGCACCACTGCTGGACCGCGCTGCAGTTTCGAGGTCGGCTCGTCCAGCTCCACCAGGGCTGATCCTGCTGGCCTGACGATGACTCGCTCCTCGATGTCGTAGAACTGCTTCTGGATGGCTGGGCGGCGCACCTGAAGAAGGGTTAAATATAAAGAAAACGTCTTCGAGTACTCTAACGAGCAGGTACACCGTCCAAAGCGCTTGCGGTACCGTACTCCCTCCTTCAAGTACCTCTTCGTGTACCTCCGATGAACATAAATGCCTTCCAATTACGCACTTGCAGCGCCATATCCTCGGGGAAGGCATTCATGAACACCAATACCTCTTCGGGTACTTCTTGAAGTACTTCTTCGAGGTCCTTCACTCACCTCGACCTTACGCGTCGACACCGCCGGCTTGACCACGTCCAACTGCTTCTGCACGAATCCTGGCTGAGCCTCGATTCGAGTCACCGGCACCTGTGAGACCGTTGGCACGTGCTTCACGAAGGGCACGGCTGCAACTGCAGGTACTTGCGCCGCGGCGTAGCCGACGTGGTGCGACTCGATCTTCGCCGGGATGGCCGCAGGTGCGGCGTACTGCAGGGGGGCCGCGTACTGCACCTGCTGGTGGACATGCTCCAGAGACGGACCCGAGGCGTAGGTCAGGGCTCCTCCGTTCACGTAGGTCACGCCTGCCGGATTCAGGTATGGCAGCCTCACGGCCACGTGGCCGCCTAGGACGACTTGCAGCAGCGCTGCTACCACTACGAAGCACTTCATCCTAAGAAGAAATTCTCATTTTTTATTTCCACTGTTATTATATCACTCTTATTTTCGTAATTAAGAGAACGACGCTGATGAAAATTGTACCGACATCAAACCCAGGGATGAATTTAAATTGCAATTTACTGGGAAAAATGATAAGATGGAAGGAAGTATGCGTTTCACTTTTCGAATGCCCTTCGTAACGGGGGAGTTTATTACAGCTATTGTGATATTGTTAAATTGCGTTAAAAAAAGAAATTGCAGAGGAGATACATCGCGCAAGAAAATGGTACTTTTGATTCTACACTTTTTTCCTTCCCTTCTTTTCGGAAGACCTTCTCGGTTTTCGGCTCTGGATCTTTGGCGATCACGTCCCGGTTTCCCGGCACGTCCGGAAAGTACCGGAAGGGACGTAAATGCTCGGATCTAAGTTCCGGAAACAAACCTCTTACGAGAAGCCCCGAAATCCCCGCGCGGGGCTCGTAAAGTGTCCCCCTTCTTTCCAACCCCGATAATTCCGTACTCGTCGAAACGACGGGGACTTTAATCCCGAAAGTTTCCATCGAAAGTTCGGAAGAAACGAGTCGCCTCGATTTCCGATGTCGGACACGAACGCTGCTCCTCTGAGACCGAAATCCTTTACGCAATTCGGGCCTTTACTTTCGATCGCGTTACTCCATTTTTCGGGTCACTGGGCGACACGCTTACATCCCGTCTCCCGCCATTTAATGGACGTATTATGCGAGAATTACGTCTTACTGGCGATTACATTTAATCGAGGAAAATCTAAGCGAATCATAAATGACGACCAGGGTTCAAGCCTAACCTGTCTATCCGCGGACAATTGAATTTAATTATTCAAATGAATCTAATAAGCAATGCAGGTGGCGTTTTAACGTGGGCGGCCACGGCAATTACATTGTTAAGGAGACAATAGACACGGTTACAGGTGCAATAATTATGGCACCTGCAGGGCCAGCGTTTAAAATGCAGGCCTACCGTCCAAGAACCCCTGAAGGCTCTAATTATGCTTAAAAAAAATTTTTTCCTGCATATCAGAGTGATTTATTAAAAATCGGAAATTCTCTTCTACTCTTTGGCTGGATTTTTGATTTTCGTCTAAAAATTGGAATTTTCAGGTGAACTACCCCTTTGACGTTTGTGACACCCTTTGTGATGGGAGGAACTAGAGCGATCAGACCGACACTTGAGTATGACACTGGATGATTTTTGGCGGATTATGGAATGATCTTTTTTTATCGCGCAAAATTTCTTGCTGACCTGAGAGCAACGTGGAGCAAGGGAGGGTAGTGAGACTGTATCCTGGCGGTGGAGACGCGTGGCTTATATGCTCACGTGGTGACCAAGAGAGTCCCCTACCTCCTCGTCGAGGATACTCGTGCCCCTCCCGACAAGGGCCCCGGGTCCGGCCAGAACTGGGTCGCTTGGTTCGCTCGATCTTTAAATTTTATTTCTTGGGGCTGATCGCCGGACCATCCGCCAAAGTCGAGAAGCCGAGCGGCCATTCGACTGTTTCGACACCGCGATAATTGTCCAGCAAGAGATCCTGTCCGGTCAGCCTGGAAATCCCCTAGATCTCCAGATGCCGAACCAAACCCCCAGGGCCATACCTCAGAAAGAATAATCCTCCAGGAATAAATTCCAAGCCCGTGTCTGTGCTCACGCCCTGGAAAAATCCACTCGACAGGTCTTGATAAAAGAATTAAAAATCGAAGAGGATTAATATAAGATTAATTAAATCTATCTCGGGTGGATTTTTACGGGTAGTCCCTCGGAGGATATTTGCATGTGATGGTACTGATTTGAGGTGATGGGAGAGAGGGGACAATTGGACAGAATGTAGAGCAATGGTTGGCAAACTTTTAGCAGATGACGTGGGAGGGGAAGGATCAAAAGTGCCCGATCGATTCGATCGGGCACTTTGATAATTATTGGAATTAATACCTCGGTTCCTTCTCTTCACTTTTTACTTTGATGATCGATAAGGGGCCGCTCTCTTTCACAAATCTCGAATATTCGGACGAATCGTATGTATCCCGATCGGCTCGTTTATTATCAGATGTGGCAACCGGCCACGCCGTTTGTTATCTCGCTCCAATTTTGCGCCTTCGATCACGTCGAGGCGGTCTCTCGATTCTGTCGCAATGCCCGTCCACCTAAAAAAATCGTCATTTAAAATAGGTCCTCGAAAACAACCGGTCAAAAGTGAAACCTCGGGTGTCCACGCTGGACATTGGTACACGATCGGTGCACGATCATAATCGAACGTCGATTGATATGCGCGCCGGGATCAGGCCGCATAAATCTCGCAATACCTTGTCAGATGTACATGAATTCCCCCAAACAATGAAAAGAGTCTATTGTCAACGCACAAATGTAGCGATGACACTTTTACCTTGGAAAGTTCTCCAACAATGACTCCACGCTGAGAAGAAATGTCCATTGAACCGAAGGAATATTTAATAAATTCGGAGTATAATTATTTGCCTGAAATGAACTCGAATAAATAGGACGGAACATTTCTTCAGAATTATGACAATTTATTTGAGCATATTTCTCTCAAATAATTATTCTTCGAATTAACAAAATATTTCTTTGGTTAGATGAATTCCTTTTTTCTCCGTTCACCCTATAAATCTTTTAATTTAATTAGATTTAACGGGCGTGTAGACACCGCGGAAGAACACGATGTAAATGCACAGATTACAAATCGATACGAATTCATTTTATGTGAATAATCCACCTTGAGAAATTACGATGCGTAGTTATTGGATTAAATTTTTATGCGAATAGATGTGTCATTTTTAAATTCTCTGGAGGTGCGTATAGGGAAATAGGAAAACGGGGAGAGGAGAGTGTGGAATTTTTTTCTGCAGGAAGTACCATGGCCTCGATTTAGGATTTTGAAGGCGGATCCGATACAAAGTCTGCAGGATTTTCGGATCGATATAGGCGTCGATCATTGGTGGCCTTGACCTTCTCCTTTGATCATTCGAAGGAACCGATGTCAGAAGAGAGATACCTAATGGCAGAGACCACACCTTCCCATCGATGAGGTGAAAGGAACGAGGGATGAAAGTCGATCGTTCGCACCGATCGAAGAAACGTGTGTTGCATCGACCTAATGCTCTAACCTGGCACTAAATTTAGCAGGTGATCGATCGATGGATCACGTTTTCGAAACGTCGTTGCGCAATATCTCTCCCTCGGCCGGAGAAAAAAGGAAAGCAACCTGGCGCGGAAACGAACGGCGAAAAGAGATTCGAACCTCCGCGATCGGTCATCGAGATTGAATTTGTTAATTCGATTTCTTGCCCCGAGCGATTTTTAAGGCCCTTTGATATCAATGTCGAGTGTTCCGATATGTGGGAAAAAAAATTAAAACACGTAAATAATTTATTAATTAAGCCTCGATTCACCCAGCAGGGGTGTGGCGAGGTGTCCTCGGGTGTTCACCCAGCAGGGGTGTGGCGAGGTGTCCTCGGGTGTTCACCTGGTCCGCCTTGGAACGAATTTTCTCCGCCTTGGCCAGACAGAAGCAACGTCTCCGTTCTTCCCTGCCTGTTCTTGGGCAATTCACCTGGCGCCGACAGAAGCTGAGATTTTTCTTCCAAGAGCAACCGGATCTGCCTCGACAAAGGCGTCTCTGTGATAGCTTTCTGTGACACACCGACGTCTCGGATTTTTGCAAGCCGATCTCGGAATTAAGTGGTCTCGGTGTTCTCCATTTTGGCCCTAACTGGTGATTACGGTGCCGATAACTACCGGTACCCGGAGGTGCCGCGGCAGGACATGGAAAATATCCTAAAGAATTTTTTCCAACAATTTTATGAAATTATTAAGGGAAACCTTTCGTACCGATTTTTGGTTTTCATCTTCGGAGCGCTTTACTGTTTTTCTCCAGTCGATCGAGTCGGACGAGAAGAGATTTTTCGCTAATAAACCAGACAGGGTTTGCAAAATGCCGAAGTGAATTTTCTGGGACTATTTTACGAAATTCGCTCTCCTGTTTTCCTCGCGTCGATCCGATCAAGAGAGAAGAGAGTTAAACGGTCGAGACTGTTCGCAAATAAACGAGAAACGAGCTGCTTTTGCATCGGCGATCCTCGTTGCGCAATTTGGTGTAAGGTCGAACGTAAACCAGGGCATTACAACGGAGTCGACGAGTGGCCGATTTTTCGCCTTTAACTCCCGAGCTTCTCGTGGGCGATATTTTATGCCCGAATAAGGAGTCGTTAACAAATGGCAAAAACACCAGAAAACCGAACGAGTTTTTAATCAATCGGTAATAATCGAGCTTGGCATGAAATAACCATCTCCACTTTTTTACAGTTATTCTACTAGACTTAAATCCCAAAAAAAGTCCTTGCAAATTGAGTCGTTCTTGCACCTCTGGATTGAATTCTTGCGCAATTGTAAAGCCCGGCAGAAGCGAGTACACGCATGTTAATGTTGGCTGACAAATAGCGATTTACTTTATTTATTTATTTATTTTTTTTTCGTATTCGAACCGCGACTCGAATTCGGTGCCAGGTGACACTGGATTTCCTGCAGAGAAATCCGGCGTTTTCAGGTCTCGACTGCCAATTAAGAGAGCGGCCATGAGTCAAGAGTCATAAGTCATACGCGTTTACCGCCCCAGGGATTGTTGGAATAAATGGAATAAATAAGGGTTTCGATCATTCCACATTGCGAGGAGGTCATTGCTCACGAGCACGGCCTGTACTTACAATCGCTAATGCGAGCTGGTTTATCGACATCCTGTAAATCCTCCAAGAGGAAGAACAACGAACGAAAACAGTACAAATACTGGCAAAATTGCTGAAAAAAATCCGCCTTGAGAAAGGTCAGTTCGGCGATTTCGAGCGAACCTCGCAAGAGAGGTTTAGTACCGAGGGCTTTTTTTTTTCCAAGTGTTCCTTGAATTATTGGCAGGGCTTGGTACTCACAAAGTGCCCTGGAAACATGGAAGAAGAGCCTCGTTTGCTGCCGACAACGCCCAGAAAGCGAGTTTCGCCATTTTTCGCCAATTACTTCGGAAGTTACGGTCGGCGCGTAAATCTCACTTTTAACTCGCGCGGAAAAATTCGAGACTGATTTTTGGAAGGGTGGGAAAATTTCCAGGATAAGTTCGGTGAACTTTAAAGTAAATGCGATGGGTTTGGACATTAATGTCATTGTGATGTAGAGCGGTTTAAGGAGGTTCCAAAATTGTGCAAGCGAAAGAATGGAAGGATGTACGCACGTACGCTCCCAATTTTCGCATGATGTTGCGCAAAAGCTTTCTACTCGTGTCAACGGACAAGAAATGAGACAGTTTCGCTATCTCCATTGAAAGGAGTTCTCTTTTCATTGAGAATTCGAGGCCAAGCTGGAGGTGCCGGCTTAATATCAAAAAGATGATAAAATTAAACACCGTCATCGAGATCGATACGCCTCAATTTCTCTTGATTTTCTTAACCTTCCTGAACCGGTATCGCCGCGTCTTTATTATTATTACGGGGGATAATATTATACTAAAGTATGACGTACGGTCTTCAATTACCAGAGGGTAAACCTAAGTGAGGCCGCTTAATCGTCTTCGTAATTATTATTATAATAAATACGCGTAGTCGCGAATAATTTCCTCAGAATGTAAATCTCCATTACGATTCGTTGCGTCAATCGTATGACTCGCTCGTGAATTACCTTAATCCTGGACCCGAGCTTGGAAATTCTACGGTCACGACTCTATTAAATGTAATAATATTAGACCACCTTAATAATAAGGCTGGACGTACTCGCGATATTATCGCGTAACGTACGACCCGAAGTGCTCGATTTTATCAGCGAGTAAAATCTACACTTTGCCTCAGGTCGAATTAATCGAAATAATATTGTACGCCTGAATGTACGATTTTAAGCGAGCGCGATTACACCTGAGAATCTGTCGAAAAGTGTACATGTTCCAACTTAAATACCTGACCTGCCGAAAAATTGATTTCCAAGTTTTGGAACAATTGAGAGTGGCGGCAAAATTGGAGGCTATCAGGTTAATTAATTGCTACATGTCGAGGTATTACCTTTTTCGGAAAATCGAGGATACAACAGAACATGCGATTCCCATTAATTGCTCGCGCCTTGCCTCTAATTACCACTGCCAGGTAATTTCGAATATTCTGGATACACCCTCGTTAAGTCGATAAAAAAAATGGGAAAAAAATTGCAATTGGAGGAAATCATCCGTGGAAGTGTCGATAATGCTCTCAATATTGATCTCATTTATCCGATAGTAGAGGATCGGTATCCGCAATAAGAAGCTGTTAAGATCCGCCGTCGATCTTCAGGTATTGCCGCCCAAGCAATTCCGAAACTCGTGCCCACGTAATCACGAACTCAATGATATGGGAATTAAAAAGTAAATACATGGGATAAATTATTATCAATGACGATCGTCGATAACGAGTCGAGGTTCGGTTCGAACGTCCGAAGTTAATGGGGTTTTAAATTAAGTTACAGAGTACGGCGCAAATCATGACCGCCAATTTGCGGGGTCGCTGATTTTCGCGTTTAATTTCTGGTATTACCGATGACGTCAAGAGTGGGTCTCGATATTCCGATCGAAAATTTCGGTCGAAATGGCAAAAGGAAAAGAAAAAAAAAAATATCGCCCAAACGAGCGATATCAATTTTTCTTTCCAGGGTGCAAAAAGGAAGGCAGGACTGTCCTGCCGAAAAAATCGGGCAATTGTTAATTTTCGGAACGAAAGTGCGCCGAAAGTAAACCGGCCCTGCCCTTAATTGGCGGCTTCGGACCCGTTAATGACGGATAAGTCCGACGTGCATTTAGGCGAACCATACTTACGTCATTTCGAGCCGAAAATACCAACCTCAGGACTATGTCTCACGTTCTCTCTCTTGATCGATTCGTTTGATCCGGTACCGATTGCGGTGTAATGCGCGGTGCGTGAGAAGAAAGGTTATTACTCAATCCGCAACAGGTGGAGGCGCCGCTCGAGAAAAGTCGCCTCCACTGTAACGAGATCATCCGACATCCCTCCTAACGTGACGAATTCCTTATTAATACCGAATAAAAAATGTATTAACATCACAACTGAAGAAAAAAAAAAATCCTTTCAGGGCATATTTAACTTTCGTCTTATGTACCATGTATACATGTTCCGCGGTTTTTTACGAGGACTTTACCGCGTGCAAGTCAACCCTCGACAATTAGCATTTATAAAAAAAAATCACGGCGTAATTAGCCAGATCGTCGAGCACTCCTAAAGTGCCGAATTAACAGAAAATCTTAATAAAAAAAAAATATATATCATTCCATGGTGTACATTATTTTCTTCGATTTTTCGCCCTCGTAAATGCATTTTCTGCATTGCTGGTAATCCTCTCGCGAGAATGGGGCCTCTCTACATGGCGCGTTCTTTACATACATTTACGAGGTATTTACATATACCATGCATGCACGTCCAACGGTTCTTTACGTGCACTTGAGCACTTATAAAGGCCTTACGAATCCGACATGTACATGTTATACGGTTCTTTACGGCGAGAGTTCTTTACCTTACGAGCGCAAGTCGACTCTCGCTAATTAGCCTTTGTACGAGCTAATCGAGAAGCGGATATACGACGGGAGGGAAAAGCAGCACGTGAAGAGGCGGGCAAGCGATTTATTAATCGACACTGTCAATTGATTCCTCGACGTCGGTCCGTTGAAAGTTGTGAACGAGTTCATTAGGGCTCACCGAGTTTCTGATCGATGGCGTCAATTTGCGGCCTTTGGTAGCAAATTTCATATCGAGACGCCTCTTCGTTCGTTGATAGTCAGGGCCGCCATTGATCGCACTTTCTCGCCGCTTGATTAAATCCCCCCCCTCGAATTACGCCTTTTTCCAAGGAGCTGGACGCGTATCGGAATTATCACTCGTCGTAAAAATGGCAAAATAAAGAAACGCCCTGGGAATGTCATTAATTTTGCGTTCTCCGGCGCGAACATTGGAATGCGAAAATCGCTTCCGCGGTTTATCTCGTGATTAACCTACGGAAGTCGGCGACTCGCTCGTTCGTTTCGCCATTTTCTGCGAGAATAACGTCAATTCGCCCGGTCTTTAACCTCGGGAAATATGCAAATGGGCTCTAGAGTATGTAGCCAGGGTTTTTGAGAGGTCGGAAGATTTATCTCTATTTTTTACGCTTTGTGGAACGCTGTTTCGAGGACATGGATATGGGAGGATTGACTCTTTACTTGCAAACGCGATGTTACCATTCAATTCATTAAGAAGCATGTGGCGGCTAATTGGCTGCACCGGACAGGAGAAAATATGCATTTTAAATTATGCACCGCCGACGGGGCCAACCCCGATCGCCGATGAGGGCCAAACTCGCCGACGAGAAATCGATGAAATGCGCCGAAAGATCGGTTTTGATGGCTTATTGATTTTCATATTGCACCGACGAGCTGGGAATGCGAATCGGTAAACTCTCTGAGAGGGAAATTCCGGAAACGAAAATTATGCAACTCGAAATATCGGTGAAACGCACCGAAAGAGATCCTTTTCAATGGCGTGATTAATTTCCCGGTCACAGCCAGGAATGCAAATCGATGAACTGAGAGAAAAATTCCAAAAACAAAGACCATGCGATTCCTTAAAACATTACAAAATTTTCAGTAATTATTTTGAACGGAGGTTCATAATAAAAAAATTGTATTAATCGAGAAATAATTAATTTCACGAGGTAGGACTTCAATCTTCGTGGGAAATGAGTCGATGAATAGGTGACGTCTACTTGCTTCGTTGAAAACGAGCTCGAGTTAACTTTCCTTTTTTTTTTCTTTTTCTCTTTGCAAAATGCGTGCAACAAAATCTGCACTTGCAAATCGGCGCGTGAAGTTGCGAGCGGCGAGCGGTCCCTTTACTTTCGTGGAGAAAGCGACTCGTCAAAAGTCGGAGGAAAAAATCGTACAAGAAACCCTCTGGCCTCGACCAAAGAAACATGTTGGTTTAATCGGTTCTGGCTAAAGAGTTATAAACATCCGAGGTATGCCGCCCCGGGATTCTGGGCAAATCTCGCGGTTTCCACATTTTCGACAGAGCGGCCGCACTTTACGGGCCGCACGCGCGGCCAGATGCAGTCCTAGGTCGATGCATGCCCGGAAATGCAGGGAAAAACGCAGCGTTCCTGCAACGGAACGGTCAACGAGACAGGGAATAACCGGAAGCCCCTCGTTCTGCTAAATACCCGGATAAATACCGAGGAATACGAGGACCGCGTTCGACAATTGCGCAAGTACCACTGCTGGTCAACGCACACGTTAAAAAAAGAAATCCAACAAAATGGATCGATCAACTGCATTTGGTGCATTCCGAAGAACTGGTTAACCGCGCTTTAACTGATTAGTAACTAAACGCGATAAAATAATTCTCTCACCTCCAGGAACTATTTTAATAAAGAAAGCGAATTTCGGATTAATGTAAACCTACGAATTTCATAAATGTGAGATGTACCGAGAATTACAAAAAAAAAAAATGTATTAAATGAAAAAATCGGCAAATTCGGGATGACAGTAAACTTAGGGATTCAATGACTATGAGATATACCTAGAATGAAAAGACGTATGAAATGGAAAAATCGGCTATCGACCTCGGGGCTGCAATTTTCGAACGATTGCCTTGAATTAGTGCATTCCAGGCGGTGCATCCAAATCGGGCTGCAGTTTTACGAGGGAATTTTTCCCAGTTCGCTAATTAAGCCCCCACGGTCTTCCTTCTCGATTTGCGAAGAGAAACGAGAAATGCTCGGAAACGCGACACCGTCCTTCGGCGTCTTTTTATATCCGCCGCGTTTTTTATCCCCAGTCCATAATGGCGGCTTTCATAATAGGAATTTCTCGGCCGATCGAAATTCCCAAGGCCGCCGAGTGTCCGACCTGTGTAATCCAGCTTGGCAATCTGCTTTTCCTGCTTTATTTATCCCCGCCCGTATTAATTATTTATGATATCAGATTACGCGCGGTGAGTCCGATAAATCGTACCGAGAGGCGCCGACGAAATTCCCGCGCCCGCGGAAAAAAGGGAGCAAATCGATCGGAAATCGATCCCTCGCCCCCACGGTTCGATAAAACCGCAATAAATTCCCCCGGAGATACTAATATTGTGTAACGTCATTTTCTGAGGGTTCTTAAGACCACAACTGGACGTTTACGTGGCGGCGTAAATTTTTCTTGCCCGCAGACGTTTCTTCTGAATTAAATCCCAGACGTTACTCGATATTCCTGCGGCATTAAATTCGAGGATTCGAGATCGTGTAAAGAAAATGTAGGAAATTAGTCATTACCGTAGCTAAGTGGCCCTTAAACATTTTGTATAAACATTACGCTTAATTCGACGCGACGATGGCATTACAGCTGCAGTTATGATCCCCGGGTGCAGCGGTAATGCCTTCCATAATTTATGCTAATTACCCAACAATTTACTATTCACGGTGAAGTACACCGACGGACTGTAAATTATGCAATACCCGCTGTGTTTAACGATACGTGGGGTGTTGTAACATCTTCCACAAGAGTGGCCAATATCGATCATCTTGTTCTGCGGTTTCTGGATCGATGTTTGCTTCGAGATGCATTTCTGCAACGATCGAATATCTGCACTCTTTGACAAGTGACATTTCTTTGTGTGTTTCACCTGACACATTTTGTTACACCGAGTCATATTGCGTGCAATTATTCTGGGGTCTCCGCAATACCCGATGCACCGCGAGTGCAGTTTCGATGCCTCGAGTGCGATCGCGCTTGCATGTGTAATTAAAAGTAATTTCCCCTGCAGGCTTTTGTCACCATAAAATCTGCACCCGGGGAGATAAATCGACTCGACTGACGCTGCAATTGCTCGTAAATATACGTTTGCACCTTTCCGGTTATAAATGCACCAGGGGTCTTTTTTTCCCGATGCAGGCGTTCATTACGGGGCTCATTCGGTCTCGAGCCTCGCGGATGGCGAAGAGATGCACCACGGATGCATCGATGCACTCGGTGCCTCGAATTAGAGTATGGTATCGTTGAGGCAAATTAAATCGTAATCCTAGTGGATTTTCAGACTGAAACCAGTGATTTCATTTTTGATTATCATTTCAGCCTCAAGTCCTCATAATTAAATTGATGAGCATAAAATCATAAAGCCACTCTCGGGAATTTCCAGCTTAAAATTGAATTGTTACATTTTTTTTTTATGGTTTCAGGTTTCTGTATGATTCTCAATGATGGGAATAAAATCATAAAATTTCGGAATTTCCAGCTTAAAAATGAATGGTCACATTTTTTTTATTATTTCAGCTCTGATGCTGTTAGATGTCTCGAAACTTCACGCGGAGACTAGAGTCGAAGCCGGAATCGATTGCCTGCTGTTTAAAAACGCCTAATTGGAGAAAGTCGACCGCTCGACTTTTAATTCCTAGGTTAAGAGACTCTCGTAATACCCTCTTGGGGCTCGATAGAATAAAGGAGAGTGCATTAACGGCCGAGGTTAAGAGGCCTGGCTGTTCGGGCTTTTTCACGACGATCCGCGTTACGGCATATAATGGATCGTTAAATCGGTGTGCACAGACTCCGATGGGCCGTGACTCGTGCGTGACGCTTTTCTGAATAACGACGTCCGTGGCCGGCAATTTCCGAAGACCCCTCATTACGGGAAATATTTTTCACGTACGGCCCGAGGTATGCGTATGAGATCGAGGCACGCAAAGATTTTCTGCCGAGAAGGGAAACATCGCCACAAAGTGTATAAAAATCACGAGAGAACTTTCCACCGATTTAAATGTATAAATAAATATTGAAAGTGAAATGCACGTCCTGAGGTTAAAAAAAAAAATTAATAAACCGAAGGCTATCAATTTCTGCTGAGGGATTCTTCTCTAGGAGGGGCCGCAAGGAAGGCTACGACGAGGGGTGGAAATTTTTCAACAGTTTTATTAGATAAAAGTCTAGTATTTACAAAACGATCATAAATTAAGAGAAAGAAAAGTACTCTCGTCCCTCTCTCTCTCGGCACCTTCGGGGTCGTCCAAGAATGGCACGAACACCTGAACGCCAATGGGAGCCCTCGTATATATCTCATCGCAGCCACTAGGCACTGATAGACACACCGTATAAAAAAAACATAGTAATCGAATTACAAACAGGACATGAAGGAATCGTAGATCTAGTGCTTATGGGGAACAACTCGTGATGGCAACGTCGCTGGGTATGGGCGTACCGCTCTCGCTGTAAATAGTAATGGTAATTATGGTAGTATAAAAAAAAAAGTAGCTTACGTGCAATGCTGGGAATGGGAACGGCCATGTTTGCGTTCTGCGAGTGCGCTCGGAACAATTATTCCATTTAATCGTGACGAATTATTATGAATGATCCCGGGAGGGACTTGGAACAAATTTCGACGAATCTGTGAAACGTAATTAAATTATTTACCGCGACTTCCGCAGAACGCAAACTAGCATTTTCCTGACCCGGGACTTTAATATCTCGCGATTAGCTACGAAAGTGCAACTCGGGACATCCGATGCACCTCGAGCCTGCGTTTGGGATGCAACGTGGGAAAATCTGGGGATCTGGACCGGTATAAAGAAAGTAATGGGAAAACGCAGCTGAGAAATTATCCTCGCGAACATGTCTGATCGGGACACGAAGCGCCTCTTCAAGATGATTGGATGAGATCCGAAAATCTGTTCACCGCAAAATCAATTCGAGTTATTAAGCATCGCGTGACGTTAAGATCAGCTGACAAGTGAGGCAAGATATCACCCCTTCGATCCTCTGTTTTTCCATTTCATGCGGGAACAGATTTTAGAACACACCTATCCGAGGATCCCTAGGACCCTCCCGACGATCTAAAGGACCAAGATCAGCAATGAGTAAATTTCCAATTACTAATTTAACCAGCAAGGCCATTCGAAGGTGCTCCGAAACCAAGCGAGGCCTATTCCTCGGCCTCTCCTAGGGATCTTTTCTGGGGAGTTTGTCTAGTACCATAGGCAGGTTCAAGTGGAACCAAGTAGGTGACCTTCTCACTGGCATGGGCCTCCTCCTGTTTCAGGATAGAAGGGTTCTTCCTAACAGGGCGTCTCTGTCGAGGGATGGCAGAAATCTGATCATAGTTCTCATAATCAGGCCTGGCAGCAGGACTCCTCTGCTTCTTCGCGTAATACCCAGCAGAAGAGTTCTCAGTGGCATAGGGTTGCTGAGTGGGCTTGTTGGTCTCAGGGACAGGTGTGACGGTGAATCCGGCATTAATGAGAGCAGCTAAATCCTCCTGAGTGAGAACCTGGTGCCCCTTGTTGGGAAGTCGCACAACCTGCGGAGAGCTCAGCTGATCCTGCTCGATGATCTCTTCGATAGTGAGCGACTTGACCGGAGATTTCTTCAGCAGACCAGACTGAGACACATAGATGGAGGACTGGCCCGAGGAGGGGATCTTCAACTTATGGGCTTGGCGAGGCTGATTAATGGCAGCCTGAGTGTAAACCTGCTCTTCCGTGGCCGCAGTTACGGGGGCGGATTTTGGAGCAGAGCGGGGTACATAGGAGGACCCAGCAGAGGACTGGTACTTCTGCACCTGATCACTGGTGAAGTAGCTATTAGGGGAAGGTAGAGGAACGCTGTTGGGCAGGAGATACTGCACAACAGGGGTATTATCAGGGTCCCGTTTCCTAGCTTCAGCCTGGGCTCGAGCGGCAGCCTGAGCCTCCCCCTGAGCCTTAGCTCGTGCCTGCTGGTGGGCCTTGTAGAGGGCCTCGGCCTGCGCCTGGGCGATGGCCTGAGCCTGAGCCTGGGCCCGGAGCTGGTTACTCTCGAAATTCAGGGCATAGTTGTGCGCGTCCTCCTGCGCCTTCAGGTGCTGCTGTTGCTGCGCCTGCAGCTTCAGAATCGCGTCCGCGTGGGCCTTGTACTCCGCAGCTTCCTGCGCCCGTCTCGCAGCAGCAACTTCGGCCTGATTCTGGGCCTTCAATTGGGCCTTGTATGCAGCTTCATGGTCCTTCGGCGGGGTGGTCTGCTCTTCTATATGCGCGCGTCCTGCCTCGCTCACCTGCGCTCCTTCCTGGATCTGCTCGAGGGCGCTCTGTTGCTGGTAACGTTCATGCACCAGGCGAATCTGCTCGAAGGCCGCCTGCTGGTGCTTGTTGTGCGAGTCCTGGGCCACTTTCTGGAACGCCAGAGCCTGGGCCTCAGCCTGAGACTGGGCTCGAGCAATCGCGTCGGCCTCTGCTCGAGCCTGCGCCTGCTGCAGCTTCAGGTGACCCTCGTCCGCCGAGGGCTCCGTGTACTGCGGAGACGGTCTGAACGGCTTGTTGGACTTCACCTGGTACTCCGGTGCCTGCACCTGCAGCTGGTGGTACTGCAACCTGACTGGCTCCTCCACGGTCTGATAAGAAGGCGACACCGGTTGCTGGTAACGCGGAGCTGTGGTCTCTATGTGGTACTGCTCGGGTGCAGCTGCAGGCTTTGCGTATTCCGCTGGGTAGCCCACCACCTGCTGGGAGTACTGGGGATACCCGTTTCCCTTCAGCGGCCTTTTCGACGATGCCAACTTGAACTCTTGAGCCTGATTGGCCGACACCAGCTGCAGCAGCTCCTGTTCAAAGGTTCCCAGCTTTGGCTCCGAATAGGCACTCGATACTTGGTACGAGGCCGAGTTCGAGGGACTCGCCTGTAGTCTTGCCAAATGCAAAGCTTCTGCACGGGACTGCGCATCTGCCTGAGCCTGCACTTCGGCTACTGCTTCGGCTCGTGCAAGTGCATCGGAGTGAAGCTGAACTCGTGGTCTGGGGGGAGATACAGCTGGGACGCGCTGATTTTGGTACGCTTGCTGAAGCTGTTGCTGCTGCCTAGCGTATGCTGGGAGCGGCCGACGCTGCGGCGCAGCGTTTCTCGGCGCAGAATATGCCTGCGGCTCTGACTGAGTGTACTGAGACACGAGCGTCAAGTACTCCGGCGACAACTGGAAAAAAAAGAAAAACAATGTTCAGCACTCCTCACACCTACTCTGGGTAGAAATTATTTTAAAAACCGTATATACCTGCTTACAACGCACCGTTAAAAAAAAATTATAAACTCAATTACTTAATCATGATATACGATAGTTTTAATTTTCTTGAGGTACTTTATCATTAAATGTAGCCAGGGGACGATTTTTCAGGCTCGATGTGTCGCTTCGAATGGAACCCTTCAAAACACCTGTACACTGATAAAAAAATGTTCATTGAACAAGAGAAATATCTCATTAATTCAAAGAAGCATTATTTGAGACAAATTATTCCTTTCATTGATAAAATATTTCCTTCATTCAATATTTCTTTTTTTCATGGTAGGAGTTTACTCTCGGCGGTATCTCATGCTTATTTCTGATTGACGATGCCGGGCAATTGCTCCGTGAAGGTGTTGCCATTTGCAGAGGTGGTATCCGATAATCTAGCCTCCTGTCAATCCCGAAAAGAGTGTCGACCCTATCTGGAAATCTTGATCGTTAATCAGGACCCTCTGAGATCCTTCAAGCCGTGATAAACCTGTATAGAAACGGAGCCTCGGCGAGGAATTAGAGAGGCGTGGAGTGTGTGCCAAACTAATGGATGCGGCTCGCCCAACCGGCGATAAACCACCGGCTGGCTTTAATGTCCGCTTGATAAATTATTGATAAATGTCGGAACTGCACCCCGCGCTTTCTACGTTGCATAACCGGGAAGCAATTCGCACCTTCGCGAGACATCCGACCCGATTTCAGTGGATGGATTTCTGAGGGGTCCGGGATCGCGAGGGAGGTCTTGGAGTACTGTGGAAAATACCGTTGAATGTTGGGAAAAAATCGGAATCGCTGGATAATCATTGGGAAATGCTAGAAAGATATGAAGACGTCATTGGAGAATGATGAGGAATTATGGAGAACGCTGGAGAACGTTTGGAGAACACTCGAACAACGTCCAAGAACTGTGGAGAACATTGGAGAACGTTAAGAAAACGATTTCGGAGCGCTGGGAAACGGCGAAGAATGATGGCGAACACTTGGAGAACGTGAAAAAATAACGGAGAACGTTTTGAGAATGCCGGGGAACGTTTAAAAAATCAAAGAACTGCGGGGAACATTGGAGAACGTTAAGAAAACGATTTTAGAGCGCTGGGCAACGACGAAGAATGATGGCGAACATTTGGAGAACGTGAAAAAATAACGGAGAACGTTTGGGGAATGCCGGGGAACGTTTAAAAAATCAAAGAACTGCGGGGAACATTGGAGAACGTTAAGAAAACGATTTTAGAGGGCTGGGCAACGGCGAAGAATGATGGCGAACATTTGGAGAACGCTTTTACGAGGCCGTTCGTCATCGCACATCGTTGCGACCGCAACGCCCACTAATCGATACCCATTAGCCAGAAACGAGATTCGAGGCATTCTACCAGACTCGACCATTCGTCCCGACCAAGAAGGAGATTTATTCACCGCGTTTCCCAGACCTCCGACTATCCGTGTCGCTTCCCCAGAAATTCAAGGTAATTCGCCACAAACTCGATGCACCGACAGGAACTCGACGATTCCTCGAGAGAACGAATATCGGTTTCTAATCGAACTTCGACCAAGGATGTCGGATTAGAGAAAACCCGAGACTTTCATCGGGACTTTCTATGGCGGACTTGGCCGGGAAGTGTCATCCTCGAGACGTTTATCACTCGAAGAGGAGGGCGACCTGCCTCGATCGACGTCTTCGAGGATGCCGCACATTCCGGGGAAAATCCAGGTTCTCCCCTCCTTTCCTCGCGCGGAATTTTCTCCCCTCTCTTCTCCTGGCGGAAAGTGGCGCAAAAATGGATAAACGCCGCATTAAATCATGCAGACCGGTCCCGACGGCAATCGAAGTCGCCGATATACCTTCTAATGCCTAATGAGTCAATGGTGGCGGCTCGCAAGGCCGCTTCGGCCAAATCGAAACGGGGCTGGGTCTCGGGAACTCGCGATCGTTCGGCTCTCCATTTAACGCTGGGTGTGGTTTTACCGGTTTTCTGGTTGCCGGCTAAGACTAGAATTACGAGTAAGCTCTCCGGGTTGCGCAACCAAGACTTACGGGCCGCGAGGCGTTAACGCCGCGTACGTCCTCTACCGGCGTTTCGCGACAAAAACATAATTAACGGAGCTGACTTCGATCGGTTGATCGCCGACGACTTCCCGTTAAGGGGGACGATGGATGGAAACCCGGGTGTCCTTTTAAAAAATGCGGAAAATCGGGAACCCCCAAACGATCTCGCCTGAAATCGGGATTTTTCGCGGAAAAAATATTATCAACGGAATTGTCTTCCCTTGGTTAATCACTGATGATTTTTCACAGCAAAGGACGATGGATGGAAACCTGGGTGTCCTTTTAAAAAATGCGGAATATCGGGAACCCCCAAACGATCTCGCCTGAAATCGGGATTTTTCGCGGAAAAAATATTATCAACGGAATTGTCTTCTCTTGGTTAATCACTGATGATTTTTCACAGCAAAGGACGATGGATGGAAACTCGGGTGTCCTTTTAAAAAAATGCGGAAAATCGGAAACCCCCTAGGAGCGATCTCACCTGAAATCAGGATTTTACTCCAAATTCCGATATCAATGGATGCCTTGAAAAAGAACAGCTACCCCAGAATTAATCCAAATAACGAGAAATAAATTGGAAACCCTATCAATAGGAATTTATAATACAATTAATCGAAATAACGAGAAATAAATTGGAAACCCGATCAATAGGAATTTATAATACAGGAGGCGTAAGTGGACCAGTCCTAGCGGCGCCATTTTGTTCGAATGTAAATTTTCTTCCTAAGCTCTTAATTGCGTAATAAATTATTATCAGTGGATGTGTCATGTGCTTGGGAGTTTCGTATGAAGAATTCTCAAACGTAGGTGCTTGTTTTCGGGCTCAAAGTGTTGGTTACAGCTCTTAAGGGTACGATCAAAGGAATTACTGATAAAGGCGATCCCGAAACGTCAAAGCATGAGACCTTGCCTCCCCCGTGCGTTCACCGGCATCCTGTTCGGAATCGACGCAGAGCTGGAAACGCATAACCGAGTCTGGATACATGCTCGAAAGTTGTGCGACAGAACTCGTTGCAACACCGTCCGCGTGTGAAAAATCTCTCCACGGCTTGTTAATCGCGCAAGTGATAGGCGGCCAATGGTCACGGTTGACCGATGGCCGAACGACGTCGAAAGTCGCGGACGTTCTCCTCGTAGGAAGAGATCGCGAAGCCTCGTAAAGCTCCTACACGTCGGATGGAGAAGGACGCAGTCTTTTGTCCTTTCCAGGCCGGAAAAACGAGGAACTCGCTCGACCGGATCGCGATCGAATTCCCCTGTTCCCCTTAGATATTCTCCAAGTGCACCCGACCATGCTAGCCATTGTCCATTTGTAAAAAAAAAAGTTATAGACATTACCCAGATAGACCTCAAGATCGACTGCAAGCGGAGATCGAGATCTCGGTTCTTCTTGGGAGACATCGGGGGTATTTCTTGATCGGATATAGATTGGACAAATTTTCTTTTCTTTTCCTTTTTTTTTTTTTTTTAATAATTTCTCACCTCTTGGGCGTCATCGCCGTGGCGAATGATGTACTGACTCGGGGATGCTCCGTACACTGCACTGGCCGATATCGGCGATCTCTTGACAGGCTCCTTGACATCGATTTCCAGCATCACCAGGTCATCGGCTCCAGCCGATGCAGAGGATGCCGAAGACGCCACTTGCGTCTTCTCGGCCTCTTTGCCGGCGGAGACCGCCAGGAGGCCTGGAATTAAATTAATATGTAATTAATGAAAAGAGAGCGCGAGAGATTCAGATACACTGGGGGAAAGATATTCATTGAACCGAAGGAATAATTCATTTAATAGTCCCAATGAAATTGTCATCATTCTGAAGGAACGTTGCATACAATCTATGTTCGAGTTGGAGTCAAGTAATTAGTCTCTGAATGGGACATTTTTTTTTCTCGGTGCACTTTCGTCGGTAATTCGAAATTCCTCGACTTTTGCTGACAGAGAACGAATAGAGTCCGGCGAAACGAAGTGCATGGAGAAAGTTGCATGTATCGGGTAATGAGCTAATTCAGGGAAGTGTTTTACACCCTTAGGGAGTTCCTAAAATGTGAACTCGATCTAAAACACTTAGAAATCAATTTTCGAAACCCACCTAAGGCTCTTTCGGGGGGGCGCCGCCTCTTTCCAATTGCTACATTTGCATGCATTATCGGTAACCGGCATAATTGCACCGGGCCCGCGAAACAATTTACGGGAATTCCTATTTGCATGGGAAATTGCGGAATAAATAAAATCCGACCGTTCGGCAGGCCCTAAGTCGTCTCGTTGGACGTCACGTGAGCAATCGCCGATCGATCGGCACTTATCGATCTCTATCGATCGATACCTTACGCGAGCTCGTTTCCGATACGGGGCTCGGCCAGTTTCTCGTTACTCATCGATTGATTCTCACAGAAACGAGTGCGAGTATGTACTCGACGGTACATGTACTCTCGAATACATGTACTCGAGCCGGAAGACTTTCACAGAATCGATGCCTCTTCGACTCTCGATTTATCTCCCACCTTCATATACACCGCGCCTTCGATTTTCCACGCCGTTAAAAAAATCTATAAACTTCCCTTTTCATATATAAATTAACCCAAAAATCCGAAATCCGGTACAACAATTTAAATCCCTGTACAATATTTGTAGAACGTGTGAACGATTTTCGAACCCTGCATTTTATTTACGGCATTGTTCATGCCAACCTATATACTGCTTATATTAGGGGATTATGAATTTAGTTTGTCATGTGAAATCTCTGTGAAAATTTCAATACATATAGTGGGAATTTTTTGGGATTCTTTTAACGGGGTGAATTTTTTTTACCGATAGAGGAGATTGACCGGTGATAAAAAGGACCTATTTTCCCGAATCGAAAAATCTATCGCGATTCGCAAAAGGTTACTCGACTTTCAGTTAGGGTCGACGTGTCCTGAACGCTTATCCCGAGGCATTGCACTTACGCAATAGTAAATGGGTTATAGTGCTGCTCGACTGGGCATTGTAGAGTGCCCGGCGTCGCAGTAACGACCGTATTACTTATTCCTCGCTTTCCTTCGGTTAAATCCCCGACCGAGGTATTCGCGATCGCAGACATGAAGGAAAAAGGATATCCATGGATTTATTCCACGGAAAGATTAGAAAAATTACTCGATTTATATATTTTTTATATTTATTCCTGAAGACTACTACAGTGAGCCGAGAAAAGGATTTCACTGAACCGTGCATGCACTGCCCTCTTATCAAGAGATCGAAGTTTCGTTGGAAAACTAATCCCGGCGATCCCTCGATAAGCGAGATCCCCGCTGATAGTAAAAACATCCCCATTTCCGCGGATATGATTTTTAAGGAAAAAATCGGGAAAACCGGAGGAACTTGCCAAACGCCCCGAGATTCCGGATAAGGATCCCCTGATAAGGGGACGGCATCTCGGGGTCGGTGAAATAGTCGATACTCGGGGAAAATCCCTGTTATCGAATTTCTATCGGCTCTCGGAAACTCGATTCGAGATAACGCGACGATTCCGCGAAGTGCTCCAGATTACGGGCTGGATTATCAGAAGTGCCGATCGTAAGCGTAATATCCCGATTCCGTAACCGAGGAAGGTAAATCGGGACTAATTAGCGGAAAATTTCCGCACACCTGAGCTGCATTCCTGCATACGGAGATCGGTTTCTCGAGGCTTGGGGAGGACTATTTCGGGCGTTATCGGCCTTATCAGGGGACTCGAAATAATCGTCGCGGTTGCCCCACGATCTGTCGAACCCCACTTCGTACGGGGGGTAAAAAAGTAAGAGCGGGATTTTCACAAGAGCAGCGTTGCACCGGTGCACTCTCGAGGACCTGCATAATGTCGGTTTCGCAAGACGTGGACGTTGCCGGGTGCTGATATTTAGATCGCCTCGGCTCCATTATCCTGCCTCGAGCCAAGAGTTACGTGGTGAGATCGACACATTGTACGAAGTTTTCACGTGCTAATCCTCTGCGCGAATCCCGTGCCTTAGGGGAGTCCCTCCTATCGACCTTTGTAGCGATTAGCGCCATTAAGAGACTCGAGGCGCGACCAAGGCGACGCGAAACCCTCGTCCCTTAAAAAAAAAAGTCAATTTTCTTTCAAAATAATCCACCGAATCGTCTAAGACTTTACCACGTGATTCATAATCACCTAAGCAACGTGCGACTGCTATCGGAATTCTGATTCTCGAAACAGAATCATGCTAAATCAAGAAATGTCATTTGGAAAATCGACATTTCAAGGTGCTGCAGTGAATTCGGTGGAATCGCATTAATTATTGTGCATTTCTCTTTTTCACGGATATCCATTTAAGTCAACTCGTGAACGAGCACCGTCGAATGGCTCTGTGCGTTTGTCTTCCTTATCGAACCGATATCAGGGCGTTAAATCTCCAGAGAGACCAGCAAGTCGGGCTTACGACACGACTGTGGGAATCGGCGAGCTTTCGTCACCTGGACAGGTAACTTTTTTCTTTTTTTTTTCCTTTTTTTTCCAGCGTGTCGTGTAACGCGGGAAAAGTCGCCGCGTGACCGAGAGGTCTCTCTGTCCTAACGCCGCTTTGTTGTTCCTACGTGAGATTCCACGGATGCGTGCAATGCGTGTCTTGAGTAACACGGGTGTACCCGGTGGGCAAGATCGTTAAGTAACATCCTTGTTAGGCCTGATCCCGCCTAATTAACGAAGCCGATTGTTACGTGGCTTTCCGTTAATACGACCTCACGAGTGGACGGCGTTTCCTCTCTGGTGGATTCTCTTCCTTTGAACGTCGGTCCTCAAAAAAAATAATAAAAAATTTCCATTATCCACAGAGTCGATCCGGTAACAACAATGCCGTTCAAGTCGTGCCAGACGAGGTGCTCGACCAGGATTTGCATCTCATATCAGCGCGTGCTCATTTCCCGTGCGAACCTTATCGAGGATCTCTTTAACGGCTTTCCCGGGATACTTGACAAAACGTACTTGAGATCCAGAGTACCGAGCTCTATTCTCGTTGCACTTTCTCCTGAGAACGGGGCCTGGCTTGGGAACCGATCGGATTTAAATCCCCGGAATGTATAAATGGAAATTCCGGAGAATTATACAGATCCCCACTTTTCGTAGGAAAATTTAAAATCCTCATTCTCTCAACAAGAGCCAATAAAAAAAAATCGGCAGTTGAGTTTCAGTGCTTAGAAGGTGTAAGTAAAAATTCAGGAGGTAGATGAGGATCCCCCCTTTTTGTAAAAAAATTAATATCAGGATTTTCTTAGTGACGGGTAATTAAAAAAAAATTGGATCGATCTTTCGTGGATGGGCTTCGGTAACCGAGTTTAGGCTCTTGCAATGGCGAGCGAAGTTGTACTGGTGGCGTTTATCATTTCGATTTTTATCCTCGGATAGGAGAAAGCGAAATAGCTGAGGGTCTCTTTAGTAATTATAAAAGTCGGGGAAAACGTCCCCCCGGGAAATGGACGACCCGCGACGTCGCATCCGGCGGTCGCGGTGTTATGGATATTTAATTGGCCGTTTGCGAGGGAAAACGCGACGCCACCGGCGTGTGGAAGAAAGTGCGTATCTCCGCGGCAGGAGAGCAAAGCAAAAGGGGGAAAAGTGCGGCTGATTATAGGAAGCGTTCTGCTTCCGATGAGAGCTGCGGTGGCCACCCCGAAGCCTCCACCGCAGCTTCAATTAAAGCACAGCTTCCGCAGTTTCCGCGGTTCCCACCGCGTAATTGGCCGCCATTTTGAATCCCGAGTTCCCGTTTGCTCGGCGAAATCCCCGATTTCCTGGGACGCGTCATTCCCGCGATTAATGACTACGTATCCTTCCGAGATGAAGGAAAATTTTTCAATCAATGCAATTGGGATAAAATCCACGGATAAGCGAGGAATTTCCATACGATGCGGTAAAAGTGGACGGTTCGATTTTTGCAAGAAAGTAACGACGACGGCAATCAGAGTAGATACTTATACAATGTCATTTTTCCACGTTACGTCCCCCTGATAATTGGTCGCGAATTGATTTTACGACTTTTTCTTGAGGAGCTCTGGACCTCGTATCGGCGCGACTAATCAAAGGAGCCGCGCGCGTAATCAGCTGCTTGAAAAATGATTTATCGCCGCCCTACATGGGAGCAATTGCATAAGCGCTGATTTCACGATCCGCCGAGATCGACTTACTCGATTGCGCACACGCCCCGACGAGGGTAACTGCGGTTAAAGGTCGCGGTAATTTGGAAAATCCAGAAAGGAAGCGTTGCCGGGTTAAAACGACCCATACTTAAATTCCCCTTGAAATTAAATGTGCATCCTTAATGCCCATTCCCCGATGCAAAATGATTTCATGTCCCACGTGCCGAAAATACCCAGCTGCGTATTTCAAGACCTGCCGAGACATTTTAAAAAAATTTTCACTATTTTCTGTGATTTTTAATAATGCTCCAAGATTTTCCAAGGTCTGCGTCCTGCTTCGGCGAGTGCGCGCGGGACTTCTGGAATGCACGATGCATGTCCTGCATGTGTGCATAATGTCCGTTCTCGGGGCGAGACGTGGCCGTGTCGTGCTTTGGTTTTCACTTTCCAGCCTGCACTCTCGCCGGTGCGGACTTCCGACTCCTTGCACGGATTGCCGGTGCAGGAGTCAGTCACCCACACCTGCCGGAGCTCGCAGGAGCCGCCGTGTCCGCGCGTATCCTGGTCGCTACCCTCGAGGTCCGAGTCTCGCAGCTGCACTCACTGCCGGTTAGAAAGGCGAGTCGCGGCCCAGTCCTACGTACTCCACGTCGGACGATTTCCCAATCGGCCCCACTCGAACGTGTGGGACTCCGAGGCGGACGCCCTCGTTTCGCTCGAGGTGGACGTAACGACCACGAGGTGCGAGATTCGCGGACGAAAGCCCGGAAATGAGATCGGCCATAAGATAAATCGGACGCGTTCCATGATACATCGACCCTGGAGAAAGGACAGCTTTTTGGGCCGATTAGATTAAATGGAATGTAATTTCGATAGAGGAGGTGAATCGGCATCGCCATTACAATCTACTAGAGAGTAACAAGGGAATTTCAATTAACTCAGTGAATGAAATTTCGGCGACCAGGAAGGCTTATAGGCTTACAGCTGATCATTAAGGCGGGGTGAAAGCGCCGTCGAAGAGGTCTCGTTTATCACACTTTTCTCATAACCTGGCGCACCGAATCGTTTCAAACTTTGCTACGTTAATGGAGAGGCTATAAGGAAGGTCCCTCCACCCGTGAAATTTCAGGGTTTTAAGAATTTCCTCAGGGAAGGAGATTTGGACATTTCAGCGATCTAGGAATACCTATTGTTGGTTATTAATGGGTATTTAGTGGGTTAATAGAACTTGAAGACCCCGAGAAGTGCGGCCACCGAATGGCCTCGCCTGTTTCTTCCTTCGTTCCTTTTTTAACCCTTTCCTAGTAGTATTTCCTCACGATTACGAGGTTCCAAGAGCGATCTTTGGCAACCGCGACTGCTCCTTTTCCTCGCAGGGGGTAACGAGTCGTAATGGCTGCTCGTTCCAGGGAGGCGTTAATACGACGAAGAGGTGGGATGTCGACTCGTTGCACAAGTGCGAAGGTCGCGGTGAGCTCTCGTTCGCCGAAGAACGGAAGTACAGAAGGCTGAGCGATGGCTTAGAAAGTAAGTCGAATGCGAGAAGAGATCTCTAAATCCTCGATCCTCGGACTTTCCTTCCAACGATTTTTCATCATTTTCTCCCCCAACCTCTCAAAGATCCCCAACAAAAGGAAAACTCCCCCAGCTTCTGGAATTATTTCTCTTCACCCCTGCACGATGACAGAAAATATTTTTTTATAGAAATTTCCCATATTGCATGTTTCATATTTTTAGATTCTCTACCGAATTATTTCCTTTCGTTTGTGAAATGGGATCGATGGCGATCGGCTCTATGATCTGATTTCCGAGGGAGTTGCGGTTTGATCCTCGTGTCTAAAAAATCCCACGTCGGACTGCATTAAAATCCCGCTCACGGTTCCTGGTCCGAACTGCGGCCCAATCGGTTAGTTCCACCTCGTGTTCCGGCGAGTTAGCGAGTGCGTGCATTAGACTGCACCTCGAGAACACGCTTCTAACACGAAAGGAACAAATCGATCTGATCCGTTTAGCTCCGGCTCGGTGAGCCGATCGCTCTTGGCGCCGAGCTTCTCTGTTCGCGAATTACCGCCTCGATCGATCTGTTCCGAGGGATTTTTCGCTTTCCGCCCGATCCGATCCTCTTCTACTTCCTCCTTCTTCCTCTCTTGGGTTATCTCTTAAGTTTCTCCTAAGTCGGCCCGAGTTATGCCGGAGAAAGTCTTTCCGACGTCCGACTCAAGCGTGTACGCTCCGGGTGCGGTTGTAACCGATATTACTGAAATCGAAGATATCAGGCGAGTCTTACGGCTGTTATTACGTGTCAGGATCGGTTAACGACAAATTACCTAGACATGGTTGACATTTCAGAGTCGACTTCCTCATGGAAGTGAATTTCCCTACAATTGCTCCGAAATAATCCGCAGGAATTAAATTAAATAATTCGCAGAAATTAAATTAAATAATTCCCACTCACGCGTTGTACGCTTAAAGTGCGGTTGTAACCGATATTACTGAAATCGAAGATATCAGGTGTGCCTTGCGGCTGTTATTACGTGTCAGGATCGGTTAACGACAAAGTACCTAGACATGGTTGACATTTCAGAGTCGACTTCCTCATGGAAGAGAATTTCCCTACAATTGCTCCAAAATAATCCGCAGGAATGAAATCAAATAATCCCCACTCGGTATTAAAATAATTCTAACGAAGTGTAATTAAACTCCGGAAGGTTTAATAGTATTGGGAAAAAATTAATCTCGCCGGTAATTTTCATAAATCCGGATTAGCGGAATTATTCTCGAGGATGATGGACGTCTGTTTGTGTTTGAAATCCCGGGAGCTTTTAATTTACGATTTATTAAACGACGGGGAACGTCAATTCCGTGATGTGTAAAAGTCGAGTAAAAGTGATCTCCCTTTTTAATGGCGGATATGAGACGATGGACTAGAAAGTCGTGTGGGAATTTATCCGCAGATTGGAGGACAAGGATTTCTCGGTCCACGATGGATGTCTTTAAGTGGGAAATCGCGTTTCACGTAAACGACTTCGAGTCCAGTAAAATTGAAATATCGCAGATAAGCGGGATACGCTTTCTATGGGATTACTTCTGCATTGCGGAGGTTTAATTGGACGCGTTTACCGATTTACATGGGTGAGGGTCGAGGATCGTTTTTCATCCCAGGGAATTTCGAGAACGCGGAATTTCTCGATTCCGCGTTAAATAAAAGGGTCCTATCTTTTCCTCAATGTTTGGCCAGGGACAATTTTTAATACCATCGAGTTACGACCTTGCAGAATTTAAATACACAGGTCGGGAAATTACGGGGCGATGTGGGATTACGTATAGCGTGCCTAGGTGAATATAGTTAATAAGAAAGCGGGACTCCGTCTTCCGGTGAGCGAGTTTCTAGACTGTAAACCACGGGTGTGCATGCTCTCTGTACTCGTAAAATACCATTTCCCACACATACCCGGTCTGAAGAATTTTACGTAACCCGGAGCATGCGATTTATAGTACGAGCAGGCGGTAGTTTATATCAATACGCGGTAATACTCTATAAACTGGGATAAATCGCAATATCCGGCAGGCAAATCGAGTCTTTCCCCGTTTTACCCCCTCATTGCTCTATAAATAATATTACTTTACGGGGTAATTTAATTTTTACAGAGAAATTTTCAGAGCCAGCCCGAATTAGCGCTCAACGAGGGGCTCAATAAAAATTTAACCACCTAGGGCAAGTGATTCGAGAATCTCGGTGAACTTGAATTGAGTTACTCCCGCAGTCAGATCGCAATAAAGATGATTTATGGTAGAAAAAAGGAAGCCAATCTTCCGCCCAACGGTTAAGGCTCCCTTCGTTGCCAGAGCAACCGTGGACGCGCAATTTGCACGTACTCGCGTACATACATACGCGCGTACCCACGCACCTCGGCGTGCCTTCACGCACCCTCGCTTTAGCTCCTCGTAAAAACGGCAAAATCAACCGTGGCTACATTACGGGCCTAGCTGTCCAATTTTACCAATTACCAGTGGCAAGAAACGCGACTAGCTCGATTTTACGGAGTCGCGTCTAGCTCGAGCGTGACCGCCGAATTCCCCGGGAATTAATCGAAATCTCGAGCCTCCACCGGCACACCCGATTTAACAATTAATTTCATTTATTTAGAGGCATCTCAGGGTACGAGACGATTATTCAAGGCAAAATTTCCCCCGAATTAGCCCCACTGCACTCGAGAGAATTTTTCGGTGATTAATTTCCATATTTTTTTTCTTTTTTCCAGGGTTTCGAGAAGGCACGCTTATCCGAGGTCGTCCTCGGGCACTGGGTATCACTTGGATCGTCATGGTGCGATCTTCACAACGGGTTGGCACACAAATCACCCTGACAACGTCGAGTCCATCTCGGTGGTATCGCACACTCACCTGCGAGAACGAGTAGCCACATGGTGAGTTAAAGGAGTGACGGGGCTCCCAGAGAATGTTCGGTGGAAGTGGACTCCTCGTGGCTTTATAGACCCAGGGGAAAGGCCGCGCCCGGCTGGACCAGGTGGGGTGGTTCTCCACTTTTCTGCACGGCACGACCTCTTAAATGCACGGGATGCATAGGTCGGCCCAACAATGGCTCTATCGCCCTGTCCCCCTGAATTACGATTTTTAGGGCCCAAAAAGGTGCCAAATGAAAAATACAGGTGAGGTGGTTCTCCACTTTTCTGCACGGCACGACCTCTTAAATGCACGGGATGCATAGGTCGGCCCAACAATGGCTCTATCGCCAGCCTGAGTTCCCTGTCCCCCTGAATTACGATTTTTAGGGCCCAAAAAGGTGCCAAATGAAAAATACAGGTGAGGTGGTTCTCCACTTTTCTGCACGGCACGACCTCTTAAATGCACGAGATGCATAAATCCAATCCATGTCCAATTTACAATTTTTTCATTTTCCGAAGTTTCAATTTCTCTATTTTCATCCCTTTTCTCTACACAGCAAGTTGTGGCAACCTAGAAGGAAAGAAATTCGTTTGGCACCACTTGCCACGTCCCACCTTGAGAGGAAACGATTTTAATTGAATTTCTGGCCTGCACTTTTTTTGGGGAGCAGGAATTGGGTTTATCTCCCAGCAGCCCTTGAATATCTTCTTTTTGCCTGGTTTCTAGGCGAAGGGGAACCTTCCTGTTTCCAAACCGGAGCGAACTCTCGAATGCACGAGACGCATGCGCCGGGTCAGCTGCGCTCCCTGCAATTACCAATTACCAGGATAAGTGATACCTCCCTTAGATCCGGCTCCTTCTGGGCGATCGCAACCCCGACTGACTCATTGCCTCGGTACCTCGAGGTCTCGTAAAACCCTGTGCTAAAAACGGAAAGAATGCGACGGTTTTTCTCCACCTCGAAAGTGACATAACTCCACCTGGGTGTCGGTGGAGGGAAAGAAAAAAATCGTTATTGCACCTTTGAGAATGTGAGAAAACGTGCGAGGCGCGATGGAAAGTCGGATCGCTGGAAAATGCAATTGACGCATCCGGGGGAAATGCATGTCGAAGGACCTCGTTAAAATGGCGCAAGGGGGTATAAATAGTAATCGGGGTCGCCGTTCCCCATTTATTTAACCAGCACAATTATCGCCCAGAACTTGCGATACACTTCTCTATGTTTTAATGCTTTGGATGTTTTTTAGTGCCGCAAGCGCCGGTGCACCGAGCTGCATTCGGAGTGCACCGAGGCCTCTAAAGTTCCTCTTGTAAATGTAAATTCTCCCTGATTGCCGCCCCTGTTAACTGTTACAACGGAAGGATCATAATTAGTTGTAAGTGTGGCGATAAATACCTGCCCCGGACGCAAACGAGTTGCCGTAAAAATAATGCAACTATTAACAATGCTGCTAACTGTTCGCGTATTTGCCAACGGAGGAACTATTCGCGCCCCCCTTTACCGTGTAATAATCATTTTCTGCAATCCAACTAGAGCAATTGACCTCGAAGTACGCTCAATTCCCACGATAACACGATTAACGCCACTCTGAAGCGGTTAAATTAACCTCTGATTATTTATTCGACTTTTTACTGTCGCAATTTAACCAGCCGAGGTGCACTGATTTTTACCATTACTATTTGACTAGCCGCACAATTAGAATTAGCCACATCGTGGCATTTTCACTTTTTAGATAGAAACGGGTTATTTAGCGGTAATCGTGAATGCCTAGGAAATCCATTTCGGGAGGGGAAGGAAACAAACGCCGCTAATTGTCACGCCTTCGCTAAGTAATCGCGGGATTAACGAGCTGAGGTACGACAGTTGGTACATAATTACGAGGGGTGTGTAATTCCCGGCAAGCTAGTTCGATTACGTCGCGAGGGGGCTTTCGCAAAATTCCGGAAAACGAGAGAGCGCATCCTCGAATAACTGTCGCAACTCTCGATTTCAATGGAAATGGCTACAAAGCATCGGCGTGGAATGACCTTCTCCATTGCGTGTGCATCCGAGAAAGGGAATCGGATGCATGCGATGCATTATCCTCCGTAATGCATCCGCGCGCTAGGAAACGTAATACGTTATCCGCTCTTGCCTTTGACTTTCGAGGCGGTAATAAAATCGAAAAAGAGATAAAAACAAGGAATAGAAACCATAAACATATCCTGAAGAAAAATCGAGATGAAAGCATTAGGGAAAAAAAAAAAGAAAAAAGATGGTAACAATCAAAAGCGCCCAGGACAATCTCTCCGCTTTTCTTTTCCCTAGAGTCTGAACGTGATCTCCTTTTCCCCCGGAAATTGACTCCACCACCGGGGACTTTTAATTGCCCCATAACTTACACACCGATCCCTGTCAGTCAATGACTGCTCCAGTGTTATCCATCGATTCCCACAGTGTGCACTTTCTTCTCCGTCCCTTCTAACAAACCACCAGCGACCGAGTCTCGTTCGTTCTCGAAATCGGCGCGGGGTGAGCAACTTTTATTCAATTTCATCTGCATGCCGGGCTCAGGAATGGAAACTTTCCCCGCAGGACAATCCCCCCTTTTTCCGAATCTTTTCCCCTAGGATCGTTTCCCGGATTCAACGGCCTCCGGCGAAACGCGCTCCCGATCGGTCGAGGAATTGCGCCTTCTCCATCTATCTCGGTCCATTCGTCAAAATGCACACGAATCGGATCGCGAATCGATGCATGCACTTTTACAAGCCAGCGAGGAAACTCGATCGGCATGGCGAGCTTTCACCTTATTTCCCGACCTAATTGCACAGGCCGGAATGCGATCTCCCAGGGATCTTCCGGCGATCGCAATTGGAATTCCTCTTACGATCGAGACCGCCTAATCGTCGATAAACCGCAATCGAGTGCATCGATTTCCGAGGTGCATCGATGCACCGGTTGCGTCACGGCGCCACACACGCCCACGTGGGGGAATTCTCAGCACCCGGTACGTGCATACGTGCGCGACTAAGTGCACCGGAGACCGTGATATACATATATATATATGTAGATATATAAATGGGCCTGCATGTGCTCCTATAAGCTGCCGTGGGAAAGGTAATCGGTCAAAAGAAACACAGCCGACGTGCGCGTGCATACGCCCGATGCAGCGCGCTCGTAAGTGCACTGGATGCACATTTGCGCGAGGGAAAAATCGCATTCCGCAGTCGCGGGTTTCGATTGCGTTATCGAGGAAACGGTTGTACCGTGGTAAGGAAATTTTTCGAGAAATTTTGGCTAAACTCGGAAATTTATTGGAGGTTTTTAATAGGTAGATAAATTCAGATATTGGACCAATTCGCAAAAATTGCGAATTTTTCGTGAAGATATTTTTTATTACGCATGTTAAGGTCAATTTTGTCAAAGGAGTTTAATGTGGCGTTAAGGACATTTTTCGGGAAATTTTAGGTAAACTCGGAAATTTATCGGAGGTTTTTTATAGGTAGACAAATTCGAATGAGGTTCGCACCAAGTACGTATAAACAACTTGCAGAGGCCCGGTGATGCAACCGAGGAAGCACTCGAAGGCGGCACTTAAAAGGCGATCGACGCATTATATTAAGGCAATGGCAAGGGATTAAAGGATTTAATGGACGCAAAAACGGCAAGAATTCCGAGTATGCGATCGCAAACGAGACCGCTCGTCGCGCCCTACAGCGTTCCCTCCAATAATGGGCGATTTGCTCGCGGATTTATGTGCCGGCTCATTTTACAACTGTTTTCCCGTTTATTCGACCGATTACCCGCGAAGAATCCGACGGTAAAATTAACACCTCTCGTATTGCCTTTTTCCTAGCGACAATTCGGCGATCTCGACTTCCTCCTCGGAATAAAAGTAAATATCGGCGCCTTAAATATAGCCAATAAAATGTAGACAAATCATCGGTAAATTTTTCACAAAGGAACGTTTACTCGTCACATCCGTCGGTAATTTGAAAATATTGAAGATGGCTCGAGTGATAAAATATGAAAGGGTAGGATCGAAGTAAAGAGCGAAAATGGCGCAAACGCGAGAATCGCTCTCAGCTCCCTGAAGCATTTTCGCAAATAATCGTCTCGTTTACCCGGCAGTCCCCTTTGCAAATATTTCCCTCGAGTTATCGCTGACTATAGGCGCCTATGTTGGCCTAGTCATTGGCCATTATCACCTGGCCGTAAGTACGGCAAATACGCGCCTCGTTTTAACGCGACTCATACTCGAGGTAAATCTTAGAGGGTTTTTCTCTTTTTTTTTTCCCTCGCAATTCCTCCACGCATTCGAATCCCCATTTTGTTTCGCCATCTCGCCGATTCTTTCCATCGCCGACCTTGACCGAACGGGAACTGGAGCGATCGGGAGAGTATTTTCTATTTCTTTTTTCTCGTTTTATCATATCGTATTCTCGTACCCGGAACTCCTGCCTGAAATCGAGAGGCATTGTGGTGTACTTCGACTCGCAACCGGTTGTTGAGTCGTGGAATATTTTTCCACTATCGGTTTTCTCTATCACGCTCGGTAGACTAGTAAGAGATTTTTCCGTGTGAAGAAAGGAAAAAAAAAGTTTCATAATTTCATGAGAGAGATAATTCGATTCGTGGGAGATTACTCATACCCTGGTTAAATTGCTCACCCTTTTGTACGAGCATATGAATTATGGCTCCCTCGATACGGCCATTAATACGACTTGTATGATACGCAAGTGCACTCGAAAAGATTAATGATTCTCAAGGAGCGCGATATCGGATCCCTTTGGCGTTCTCCTGTCGTCTCTGCAATAAGAATGTGCTGCAATTGATTGTATCCATATCGCTGTAAATAATTCACCGACGTCGGATTTTTCTCGCGAGACGACGTCGACGTCGACGTCCAACCAACGTCCGATCTAATTGCCACTGCATCGAGGCATATCGTCGTTAGTAATTTCCCTGAAAACTCCTATACGGAACATTGAAAGTGCAATCGGCCCTTCTCTCTATTTATAAACCGATTTGCCGTTTACCGAGCAACTAGCACCACTGGCAGTAACGAATTCGCGAGTGACACCTGATCAGCTGATCGACC